AATATTAACTGACCAAAGTATTAGAACTGCCAAGAAGTCCAAACTTGCCTCCTTCTGTTTTACACCAAGAATGAGTTCATCAGAAACCCTCCCACAAAATGACTTCCCTGGTCATGGCCAGCACTTGCCGCAGAACTATTTACCTCCACACAAAGGCAGTGAGGCAGACACGAAGCCACACCAGGCGCTCACGACACATCCCAGACATAGCTCCACCTTTCCGTCACTGCCCCCATCCCACCCTGACCCCAGAGGGGCGGGCAGAGAGCAAAAGTGGAGAAATATAGGTTCAGGGTGGAGTTGGGCTCAAGAAACATCTGTATAAACACTGTTTCGCTCATTCCAGTGAAATCTACAAAATCATATTCTTCTTCTTTTCCTGGGGAGCAACAGAGGTACCGGCAGATTAACTGACTCTCCTGGCACAACCGATCAAATGAACGGAAGAGAAAAAGCAGCTCCCTCACTCTCCAGAAACTTCACCCCAAAGCACAGACTGAAGCCTAGATTGTCAGAACTGCAGCCCAGGATTCTGGGTACATCCACAGCACAGAGCTGCCCGCCTCCTTCTTTCTTCCTTTTAAAAATCATGGGTGAGGAGGAAGCACCGGATCTGAGGGTTTATTTACCATTCCTTAGCCTGACCTTCCAGGGAGAATGTCACTAATGAGAAACAATCTACTTAGGCTCCCAAACCCAGAATTTTCATAGGGATCAATTTAGGATTTCAGAGTCTAAACAGGACAAGGGTAATATCAACTGTCTTCCCTTGGAAGAAAAAAATACAAAGCCACAGAGTTTTTCCTGTCTGGAAGGAAGTTTTGTATGTGTCAGATCTGAGTTTACGTCTTTCTCGCTGTTCCGAGCCCTTTCAAATATCCACTGGGGAAAAAGGGAAGGGCACTGGCCTTCACGTGGTGCAGGCTGAGGGTGGTCCAAAACCAAAGAGCAGTCTTTGGGACTGGCTCCCTTATGCAAGAACTGACCTTACACGTGAGGCTGGAAGCCAGGAACTCTGCTCTCGAGACCAGATCCCGTGCTAATTCACATCCAAATGATGATTGTGTCCGTCGTGGGGGAGACGCTTCCATCCCGGCCAAGTGTGTGTTTCATGAGGGCAGGAGTCACATCCGTACGGCAGTGCCCACAAATGCCTGTCACATAGTGAGTCCTCCTATTGAATGAATGAATTAAACACTAATGTAGAACAGCTACATAGACATAGCCAGTAAGCAGCATTTTTTATTTTTTTTTTAATGTTTATTTATGGGGGGGTGGCGGACAGAGAGGGAGGGAGGGAGAGAGAGAGAGAGAGAGAGAGAGAGAGAGAGAGAGAGAATCCCAGGCAGGCTCCACATTGTCAGCCCAGTGCCCAATGTGACCGTGAGAGCATGACCTGACTCAAAATCAAGACTCGGACGCTTAGCCGGCTGAGCTACCCAGGCATCCCAAATGATTCATTTTGATTTCAAAAGCACTTTTTCTCAGCAGGTGGAAAGTTTTTGTTTTGGGGTGGTGGTGGTGGTGGTGGTGGTAGTGGTTTTTTCATGATGGGACCTAGAATGATCTGGACTGTCCCATCGGATCATCTCACAAGGTCTGTAGATACTGCAGCAGGGACAAACACTATCATAAGGGAACTGGTTGTTAAGCGGCACAAAGGGGGACCTCACAAATTCTCTTAAAACTCTGTCCCACATCTGGCTGCATCAGTGGGTCGTAAAACCTCTCAGGTGTTAGCCGCTCTGCTTCATTTGCTATCAGCTTAGCAGAAAGCACCGTCCATCTACTGTCCCAGCCACCACAGCTGGGTGAAGCAGGGCTCAATAAACTGCCCCTAGGCCATCAGGAAGGCAGTAGTGTGGCTCCACCTTGGACCAACTCTGTCCCCGATCCACTCTGGCCTCAACTTCCTTTTCAGGGAAAAGTCCCAACCTTCCTCTGGGAAAAGGAGGGCGTGCCCGGAATGATTTCCGATTTGTCGATTTGTCACGTGAGCTGAAGAAGGACTGAGGGATGATGAGTCACGGGGGAAGACGATGGATCTGGGCGTAAGTTCTGGTTCTGCCACTCGGTGGCTGTGTCCACTCTGGCCAAATGGCTCCTTCTGTGGCCTCAGTCTCTTCTCTGTAAAATGGGGATAAAAACTGTGCCTGCTTTGTGGAGTTGTGAGGATTGAATAATGCCGTGTTTACAGCATACATCACATAGTGCCTGGCGTGCTGTAAGATGTATTAGCTGTTGTTTTTATCTGTAAAGTGAGGGCCCCTGTGGGATTCCAGGACCTCTCAGCCCTCCTGACAGAAAAACTAAGTGTCTCTAAGAGTGCCATTGTTTTGTGTTTTCTATGCACCTCTGCCGCATCAAACTCTTCCCAGACCTCATACAGGTAAAGATAAGAGTTTGCACGAGTGGTTTAAAAGGGGAACAGGAAAGGTGTACCCTGTCTTGCACGATCCTGGGAGAAAGCCTCTCAGTGAGGCACCCCTGTCTACCCGTCCAGTCTGAATGTATGCTGGGGCTCTCTGCTGCCTCAGTTCAACTGGCAGTGTGGAAATTGGTTCTGTTCAGAGAGCAGGGAACGGCAGGAGGGCTTTCTGTGCTTGGACAGGGCTGTGAGTCCCTAGGTGTCTCTGATCAGCCCCAGCCTGTAGCCCATTCAGCCTGGGGCCAGGAGCCTTTCGCCAATTCAGTGATAGAACTCAGAAACCTGGGCTGCAGTTTCTGGGTATTGTAACGGTAATCATATTGTAATGGTAATTAATCAACCATTAATTGATCATTAATTTTTTTATTTAAAAAATTTTCTAAATGTTTTTTATTTATTTCTGAGAGAGAGAGAGAGAGAGAGAGAGAGAGATAGCATGAGCAGGGGAGGGTCAGGGAGAGAGGGAGACACAGAATCTGAAACAGGCTCCAGGCTCTGAGCTGGCTGTCAGCACAGAGCCCAAGGCAGGGATCGAACCCACAAACCATGAGATCATGACCTGAGCGAAGTTGGACGCTTAACAGACTGAGCCACCCAGGCGCCCCGATCATTAATTAATCAAAACATAGTGCTTCTCAGAGACCCTTCATTGTCTGAGGGCATGGCTCATTTTTGTGACAAGAAACCTGAGGCTGAGAAAGGTTATCACCTGCGGCAAAACACTGGCATTTGAGCCAAGTGGCCTTGTTTAAACTGTTGGTGATATTTTTCCTGTGTCCTACATTTCCTACTCGCATCTCAAACAATAAGCTGCTTGATGACTTTGTTGAACAGAAGCGGTGTCCTGAGTTGACACTTACATCCTCCCAAAAAGTTGACAGTATCCACAGCCCTAGCCCAATAACTATCGAAAGTCCTCATTTATGAGCAAAAGTGATCCATGCAAACTGACTGCCCAGAGCTGGGATCCACTGGGTCCTAGAGAATGGATCCCCCTGGCGAGGCCAGAGAGGAAGCTTAATTCTGAGCTGAGCCGCCCTCAGCTTGGCTGGAAATACCAGCCCCAGGTGCTCCCATCTTACTGCCCCAGCCTGCAGTCTGTGATTAGGGGCCCTAATGGCCATAATGCCTCCAATGTGGTGTTTAAACCAATAAGGCTTCAGAGAAGTTACGGTATGTTTAATAATGGCTTAATGACTACTTGTGAGATGCAAGGCTTCTGGTTCCTGTTTGGCCTTGATTTACAGCCCAACTCAGGCTGAGGACAGCCAAGAAACCCCCTCTAAGCCCCCAGCGGAAGAGGGAGGTGTTCACACCAGGCCTCTTGGATTCCTTTAAAAATTGAGAATTCAAATGAAATACAAATGATGTTTGACTCCCCACCCCTCTCACTAGTCTCTGGAGGTACTGAAAATAAAAGGAAGTGTAACCCAGACTTGGGGACTCAATCCACACAAGCGAGCAGGGTTCCAGGGTCCTCAGGAATTTCTTCCCAGATCTTAGGGTGGGGGTTGTTTCTCGTCTCAGAAATTCCAAGCTACTTTGCTAGTCCTGTGCTTCCTTTTGGCTGGGAGTCTCAACTTTCTAGAACACGCCACCCTACCCTCACCTCCCTGCAAAATGGCAGGCCTGGGGCAGCAGGGCCCTGAGGTCTGGGCAACGGCCAGCCTTTCCCCAGTGGTTCCCCAAGGCACTTCCAGATCATTTGAAAGGCATTCACTCCATGCCGCGTGTTCAAACCCCAAGCCTTCCAGGTGCTCCTCCACCTGCTCCGAATGCAACTTCTGCTGAACCCTGCTCAGTCCGCCCCTGCAAGTCGTCCCTGTCCATTCTGGCCCTGCTTCTGCCTCTCAGACCCACCAGAAATACATAGAAAAGCTCTAAGGATTGACTCGCTCCAGCCTCGAGTCAGATGAGGATACTAGTGACAGTTCAAGACCCTGCAGCTAATGGAAAGATAGTGCCCGGGCCCAAGCTTCCCAGCCCCCTTTCCCGGATTAGTGCTGTTTCCACACACACATCTCTCTCAAGGGCTCCCGCCCCTGTGAGGTACCAGGAATCTCCAGGGAGGTGTTTTTGCTGGAGGCAACGTTTGTCCAGCTCCTAGCAAAGACTTGGGTTAAAGGCCCAGCTCAGCCCCTCCCCCACCCCGCCCTTATGCCAGGCTTCGGTCAGGAGCCCAGGCCTAAAAGTGTTCCCTGGGCGCGGCGGCTCTGCCCCCAGCTGCCTCGCGCCCTAAGGGGCAAGAGCCTCCAGGCTGGGTATCTGGACCAAGGGTGCTGCTCCGGAGCAAGGGACTCACCAAGATGTGCAGTCAAAAGGGACCCTGCAGTCGCGAGAAGGTGGCTTCCTCCCTGTGCTCTAACTGCCTCCGATACGGGGGCTGGGGTGCAGCAGGGGGCTCCCGGGCTCCGAGGGGTTAACCCGCGCGGGGCTGCACGTGACGTGGATGGTTCCAGCATTAAGTCAGAGGCGCGGCCCCCTCCCCTGTCCCCCGCCCCCCCGCGGCGCGCGCCGCTCCCGGGGGCTCCGCGCCCCCGCGCCCAGGTCCCTCCCCCTTGGCGGGCGCTCACAGGCCGCACGGGCAGCGCGAGCCCCGGAGCCCCCGCGGCCTGTGCGCCGGGAGCCGGTATGGACCCCGAGCGCTGCGCGCCTTTCGGCGTGGGGCCCGGGCCCGGCCCTTACGCGGCCGCGGGGGACGAGCCACCGGGCCCCCACGGGACCCCTGCCGGCGCGCCCCACCTGCACCCCGCGCCGCCCCGCGGCCCGCGCCCGACCCGTTTTCCGGCCTGCGGGCCCCTGGAGCCCTACCTCCCAGAGCCCGCCAAGCCGCCCGCGAAGTACCTGCAGGACCTCGGGCCCGGCCCGGCGCTCAACGGCAGCCACTTCTACGAGGGCCCCGCGGAAGGTAACGCGCGGCGCGGGCGTAGCGCTCAGCCCCGACCCGCTCTCCTACCCTTCCCGGGCCCGCCAGGGCCTCTCTGTCCCTCGCCTGCTCGCCCCGCTCTCAACTTTTTTGACCCTCTAGCCCGTCGTCGCCGCGGGTGCCTCAGAAGCCCCGCCGGCGCTGGTCCAGGCCGGGCAAAGGCAGCGCGGCCACTCAAGCCTCCGGTGGCGGGAAGGGGAGGGGGAGGGCGCTCCAGGGTGGAGCTGCGACGGTCCCCCCCACCCCACCCCGGCCCAGTCGGGCCCGAAGGCGACCCGAGGCGGGAAGGAGAAACCCCGCTTGGCCGGAGTTGGCCCGGAACTGCCACTGACCCAGAAGCCGGGACCGGGCGCGGGGCCTGGGCCGCACACTGAACCCTGGGTCCCGAAGCGGGGAGAGAAGCTCGGCTTTTGTGTCTGGGGTCCGTTCAGGGCCCTGAGCTCGGGCCCCGACCTAGAGTGGCCAAACAGGGCTCCCGGGGGCTGCGGCCTTGCCTCCGCCGGCTTCTCCTCCCAGGCCCAGCCTCCGAAGGGAAGGCGCTGCCTGCGCGGGAGGCTGGTGGCGGCGCGGCCGCGGCTGTTCCCGCAGTGCCGGGGCCGTTCTCAGTACGGAACAACCGTGTTCTTATTTCTCAGACCAACCTGGCCTCCCCGTCGTTATGCACGGGGACGGCCGCCCTTCTCGCAGCCTTGGCTTCCTCGCACTGGATCGTCGCCGCCGGGGCCGTCGACAGTAGCCCGGCGGGCCTCTCCCCTGGGCTCCTCGGGCTCCGGGGCCGGTGCCCCACGCGCCAGGCCAGACGCACCGAGTACGCGCCTGAACTCCGGGGCCTGCAACGCGGGCCCGCAGCCCCGCCGCCACCCGCTGCACCGACTGACCTGCAGGAGTCTGGGCGTTCGCCCATCTGCGCTGCCGCAGCCCGCACCGAAGACCCAGGGTTGGAGCCTCTGACATCGGCCCCAACCCACCTCCACCCGGCTGGCGCCTCGCGCGTCTCCGCGGAGTGGCCAGGCAGCTCAGGCCTTCGCTCAGCCGGGGCAACGGGAATGTGTAGGGGAGGGCGGGGAGGTGCGTGGGGGTCAGCGGAGGAAATGAGCGAGTCCGCGGAGCTCCGTGTCTGTGCCCTTTGAAAGAGTCTCTCCTGATAAAAACCACAGTTGGGACTTAATGAGAAGCAGTTGGCCTGGCTCCTCTGATCCCAGCCAGACGGCGGCGGCCGCGCAGCGTCGTGAGCCCCGCGGGGGACAGGTACCCGGCCTGGCTGGGCGCGCGCGCGCGTCCGGCAAGACCCACCACGCGGGCCCGCGTCCCCGCGGCGCCTCCCGCACGCACCGCGGGGACGCCAAGACTGGCGAGCTGCGCAGAGCGCTGGAGCTGGACGAGCGGCGGGGCGCGGAGGGACCGGCCCAGCGACGGCGGGGGCGTCATCAACGAAATGCGCGGAAGTAACACCGAAGAGTGTTAACAACGACCAAAAAGAGGGAAAACTGAACACGCCCATGGAGCAGAGAGGCGAGAAGGAGAGGTCAACGACGGTCGGCAAGCGAGGCAGGACGTTAAGAAACACACGGAGAGCGAACGGAAAGGGAAGAAAAAGCAAGCGGAGGATCGAACGGTCGAACGAAGCGGGTACATGGAGAAGGAGGGAAAGGACGAACAGAGTAGTAGGAGGGAAAAAATGAAAGGGGAGAAAAAAGGACGGCCTCAAAGAGCAGAAAACGGCAAAACGAGATCGAGTGGGAGAAGAAAATTGACGATCCGGGTTGAGCGGACGACAGGCCAAACGAAAAACAGGCGCAGCGCGTGCGAGCTGAGCCTGGGACCTCGGCCGCCGCGCGCCTCCCGGGTGTTCGGGCCGGAACTCGGCGGGCGCGGGCGGCTTGCGTCCCCGCGGGGGAGCCGGGCCGGTGGGGAGGGACGGTCCCGGGGGACTAGGGCCGCACAGTCTACGAGGTGGGAAGTGGTGGTAATGCGGGAACCCACCTTACCTCTCGGCGTCTAAAGTGACGGGCTGCGGGCGTTTCCAGTTCAGTCCAGTGAGCGCGCAGCTGCGCCCCATCTGCGGCGCGATCTTTGCCGAGGCGGGGCAGTCGCGCGCTCCAGAGGCTGGCGCTTCTCTCCTGTCTTCGCGGCACCCTTGACGGAGAGCGCCCGGCCCTGCCCTGAACCCCGGCCGGGCCGCGTACTGGCGGTGCCAGCCACCCTCGGAGCGCGGCGCGCGCGGCTGCTCAGGGGGCCGGAGCAGTGCCCGGCCGTCCCTTCCTGCTGCGCCCAGGCCGCCCCTGGCTCGGCTCTCTGACCTGACCTGGGATTGCGCCCACCGCCTCGGAGGCCCTTGCTCATCAGACCCACTGCAGACCTCGAGGATTCCAAATTATTGGTCACCGGTCGAGGCCCCTACGCCAAAGCTGGAAACTCTCGAGAGCGCCAAGGCCCCGCTGGGGTCCCGCGCACGGCGTTCTTGTCCATCGTGGCTTCAGGTTATCGGCCGGCGCTTCGAGAGCCCAGGCCTTGGCGAGCTCTGCGGATCGCGTGGGAAACGGCAGCTCAGACGAAGGCTCCCACGGAAGCTGCAAGCCGGATAGTTGGCCCTGCGGCCTCCGAGGACGCTCTCTGGGGGGGGGGGGGGGGCACTGGGGCTCCCGATTGGCGTCCCAAAGGGTCCTGCTCCCGAGCTGCTGCCCTGGCTTTGAGACAGCTGCTAGCAGGGCCTCTGGCGGCCCTCAGGGTGGGGGCGAGCCGCGGGCGTGAGAGCGGAGTCAGGGACCGAGCACCGTCGCTGCCTCAGAGAAAAGTTTTGTCCGGGCTCCTGTCTTTCAGGCGCGACAGACTTCTGCTGCGGTGCTGTGGTCGTGCAGGCTGTGGGCACCTGGTGCTGAGCCCCAGGAGGGACACCAGTCTCCACCATGAACAGGCCCTCTTTAAACGCATGGTGTCCCCACCAGGTGCACGCGAACCCTATACACAGCGCACACACCTTGAAAGTGCAGGGCGCTGTGGGTGCATGCACCCTCTTTACAAGCTCAGATTCAAACTGCTGGCTTCCCAAACTTCTGCCTTTCCTCCACTTCTGCCTTTCATTGATCGCACCTCCACTTCTCCACGACGGCGGCCACCTCCACCAAAGCACTGGGCTTTGCCCTTCAGGACGTATTCTGTGAGGTGTGCCTCTGCTCCTCCCAGGAGGGGGATGCCTGCTTCTCCCTGGAGCCCTCCAGGCAGATGGAGGTTTCAGGGCAATGGCAATGAGGAGGGGAGAAGTGCTCTCGTCCCTTGGGAGGGCATAGAATGGGCAGGCATGGGAGGGCGGCAGAGGCCAGCAGGCTTGTTGGCCCCCCTTTTTGGTGGCTATTCTGGAAAGTCCTGCTGCACTCTGTGCCTCTTACTCAGGTAGCTCAGAGCCCAGAGCTCGTCACTTCCTCTGGGCAGATCCTGTTAGGACAGATGTGGGCTCAAGAACCAGATCAGCAGGCTCCAGAGCTTTGGGGAGCGCTCTGCAGTGATGTCAGTGCTCCCTTGGCCCCCATCCCTTAGCCACTGTCATCCTTTTTCCCCTGGAGTCCAGCAGGACCTCTCTCTGAACCCAGGAGTCCAAGCCTCTCAAAGCTGTTATATGTGGGGCGCCCCCTAAACTGTTAGTTCCCCCGTCTCCCTGACCATTTTCAGTTATTTGGTTCAGCTTCCATGAGTCCTCAGCGGGCGTGCAGCTCCCTCTAGAACCAAAACGTGTTGCCTAAGAATGGAAGTCAGTGGCAGGAGCGCCTTCTCCCCTCAGCTGCACTTGAGTTGCGAACCTGGTGCCTGGGCTGTTGCCGTGCACAGCCCCGAGGGCAGCCCTCATGACATGGAGCTTACTGCCCAGCCTGCCTGGTCCTGGGGGGTCACCCAACGCCTTCCAGCTGAGGGGGACCTTGCCCCACTTGTCCTCCATAAGGCAGCCAGGGAGCCAGAACCCGAGAAGCCCTTCTCCCTGGTCCCCTCCTTCCCGATGACAGCTGTGATCCTGACACCAAGTCCCAAGGAAGAAACTGTCTTGGGTGCCAGCTCGCTGGCCTGCTAGGGCCCAGGCCCCTGTTGGGGATGGGCCAGGGCCAGGGCAGGGCTGTGTGAGTCAGTGGGGCGTCTCTGTGGCGGCGCCCCTGGAGTCCTGACGGGAGGACTGGCCGGGAGAGGCTTCATGGCGGCACTGCCGGGGGCCTCGCCAGAGGAGAGGGCGGGCCGTCAGAAGTGACCTATTTTTCACCAGGCCTGGGTTGTGACAGGGCCCCACCGAGCTTCCTGAGCGAGGGCCAGCGTGTCAGAGTGGGACGGCTGGAAGCTGGGCCCAGCTGCAGTCAAGGACCTAACCCCCCCACCCCCTTGCTAAGCAAGGGCAATGAGGGGGGGTGGCAATAGAAACTGCTGAGAAGGGAGGGGACAGACAGTAACCAGAAAGATGGGGTTGGGGGCTGAATCCTGTTTTGACCCTGGTCCCATCTCTCCTTCTCTGAGCATAGCCTATCTCTTGCCCCTCTGATGCTGCAGCTCAAGTCCTTGCCCAAACATCACAGTTTTCAGAGGCATGAGACTATCCTTCTGGAAGCTTCTTCATCCCATCTTGCCCTTCATACTCCAGGGCTGGAGGATTTGACATTGCCCTGAGACCTGAGGTCCAGAGAATGAGGCACAGCCAGACCAGCCAACAGTGGGTGACCTGAGTATCCCTGTCCGTTGCCTGCCTGGACCTGGGTCCTGATGCATGGCCATGAGGACCTGGGAACTGAGGCCCACAGTCAGGGACAAGGAGGCACTTCCTGGCAGGGGCGGGAGATGTCAACCCCCCCCCCCCCCGCCTCTGCCCTGGGCCCTGCCACGGAGCCAATCCTGGCACCTCCACACCCTGTGGGACACAGCACAAAGCACTTCCCTGAAATGAACCCTCCTCCAGCCCCAGCAGATCTGCCCAGACCACAGAGCACATGGTCCCCTAGGGCCCCCTCCCCAGCTGGAGGCTCCGCAAACAGGCCTCCGAATGCCAGGCTCCCATGGAGGGTGGCTGCTGGGACAGGGAAGAGAAAGGCGGGGACTGAAGCTCAATGTTCTTCCCCCTCCCCCAATCCACCCACAAAACCCCCTGGTTCGGTTTCCATCCTCCTTTTTGTGTTTTCCATTGCAGCTGAGGAGAAGGCCTCCAAAGCTGCCAGCTTTCCCCAGCTGCCCTTGGACTGCCGAGGGGGCCCCAGGGACGGGCCCTCTAACCTGCAAGGCTCCCCAGGCCCTTGTCTGGCCAGCCTGCGTGTCCCTCTGTCCCCGGGACTCCCTGACTCCATGGAGTTGGCCAAGAACAAGAGCAAGAAACGCCGTAACCGCACGACCTTCAGCACATTCCAGCTGGAGGAGCTGGAGAAAGTCTTCCAGAAAACCCACTACCCTGATGTGTATGCCCGGGAGCAGCTGGCTCTGCGCACGGACCTCACTGAGGCCCGGGTACAGGTGAGGGCACTCCGGACATGAGCCTCTCTGGCTGCCTCTACATCCCCCCCACCCCCGACCATGGGCCCTTTCCCAGGTGCCTGCCCCCCCTGCCCGGCCTGGGCTCCCCCTCCATGCCCAGCTCTGCTGCAGCCACAGGCTTGCAGTCCAAGTTCAAGCCTATGCCTCATGGGGGTGGTAGCCTCTTGGAGTCGAGACCTGTGTGGGAGTCCAGCTCTGGCATTTTCTAGGTGACTGGGGCATGCCATGGGATGGCACAGTCTCACTTTCCCTCCTTAGGGAGTCTTTGAGGACTGCAGATGTGACAGCATTTTGGAAGCCATGAAATGCTAACACCCATCAGGGCTGCTCCTGAGGTTGGAGGGTCCCCGCTGGGGTGGGAGGGGGGTCTCAGGCTCAAAGCCATCTTGAGCCAGCAACCGTTAGTCCTGCCAGCTCCCAGGCCCTAGCCAGGAGAGCCTGGCCGGGGACCCTTCCCCACCCGACAAAACTCCGCAGCAGAGATCAGGCCCCATGGCTTCCTGGATGGGGCTGTGGCCAGCTGCAAGTAGCAGGGGTGCGAGGGGAGGGACAGATGCTGGGAACAGGGGAAAGGGAGAAGGGAAGTCTGTGTCCAAGACATGTTGGGAGCGAGAAAGAACATGAAGGGGGGACGCAGGGGGTGGGGGTGGAAAGGAGGCTTCAGTAAAAGCCGGGCCCAAGAGGAAGACAGTCACTGCCTTGTTTTGAACTTGCGTGACACACGCCAGGCTCCCCGAAGCCAAGCAGGAGGCGCTGGGAGAGGAGTGGGATGTGGGCTTTTCGGGAGAGGTGAGGGCGTCCCCTCTAGGCAGAGGGCATTCTCTCTCCCCACACGGAGGAGACTCAATAGGGACAAAGCTCACACCTAGCACACCCTGTATGGAGCCTCTCAAGGTACTCTGCCTGAGGGTCCCAGGGTAGGGCCCTGCTCTGGTGGAATGTGGGGACCCGCAGGCCAGTCCACCAACAGGCCAGCCACCCTCTGGCCAAGAAGGCCCTACAGCTGGATGCAGAGCCGGACCCGAGGGGCTTGAGTTGTTTCCCCTTCTCGGCTGGATCCTCCCCCAAAACAGACTCTTAGGACTGTCCTCCCAGGGTTCCCCAGGGCCTGAGGCCATCAGGGTGAGAGACCAAACATTTACAAGAGCCCATAAGAGTCCATGAGCCAGGGACGTCCGGAACATTGAGTCTCCAGGCCCGCAGTGAGCCTCTCGGGTGGGGTCTGAATCGCTGTCACTGTGGAACTGCCTCGAAGGCGAGCTCACCCTCTTGCTCCTCTGCCAGGCCTTTTCTACCCTGACGGGGTCGTGAGCGTGGTGGCTGCAAGGCTCCCAGTCCCAAAGCTTCCCGAAGGGTTGAGGCCTGAGAGTAGGGCTCTTTTCTCTGATAGGAATGTGACACCTCCCCGTAGGCCCTGCCCCATGGACAGCAACAACCATAAGGACAATGCAGAGGGCTTGGCCGGAGTGGGGCTTCTGGAAATAACAGGGGATGATGGGGAAGAATTCCCAGGAGAGCAATCAGCTTCACCAGCTCAACTCCTTCATTTGCCCGCAGGGGAGGGAGAGTGGAGAAAGCGAGGCCAGGCAGCTGGGCAGGTGGGATGGTCCATCCCTGACCTTGCCCCAGGTCTGCTGCGGGACCTCTGTATCTGGGGGTTAGGGGGCTGGGGTATGCCGAGCTTCTTCACTGTCATGGCTTCACCTGCTTTCATGAGTAGGAGTGTGAGGGGATCGTGGGGGAGTGTGAGGGGCTGGGGCGGGGTTACATTCACGCATGCACGCGCGCGTACACACACACACACACACACACACACACACACACTCTATCTTTTTCAGATAGAGTCCTGAAAAGCAAGAGGATGGTTTGGTTTCGTTTCGTTTCGACATTGCCAACATCTAGCCCAGAGCCTGACATGCAAACGTTTGGTAAATGATAGAAGTACAAAAGGCACGCACTGGTACACATAAATGTAACAGTCAAAGGGCACATGCCAAACGGCAAATTCATCACAGATATGTACACACATGTGCACAGCACCCAGGCCACCCTCACCTGCCAAGAGCTCACAAATGACTGGGAGACACAGATTACAAAATGGATAATGATAATGGGGTGTGGTAAGTACGAGAGAGAGGCCAGGCATCACACGGGGCCAGTGGAGATGTACGTGTGTGTTTGTGGCAGAAGAGTCGGGGGTGGGGGTGGGGGTGGGGAAGGAGGGGCAGAGCAGCCCAGACAGGGGAAGCCAGAGTGAAGGCGGGGAGTAGCAAGGTAGCAGATCGTCTCAAAGGCGAGCTGGGGTAGGAGGCAACGAGGAAGAACCAAGTGTTATTGCCTAGCCAGACATGAGGCTGTGGAGAGGGGCAGGCTCTGTGCACGCTGGGAAAGGAGATGAGGCAGGCGGCTAGAACCTGTGCTCTGGTACACCTAGGATGTGCCCAGGCTTCCGAGGCCACAGATCCCGCCATACCCTTAGTGACACCACCAGGCTGGAGAACCAAGAGTGACTCAGCCTGGTGGCTGGGGATGGGGGATGGCCCAAGGGACCAGTAGGTCCCGTCTGAGCTTGGGCCTTTCCCCGGCTCCATTCCAGGAAGCTGGCCCCCCACCCGGCAGGAGGACGTGCCATCAGCTCTCTCCCGGCAGGCTCTGTTCCTCAGGGCTGCTTTGTCACTCCCTCGGCCTCTCCCCTCTGGCCCCCAGGTCTGGTTCCAGAACCGCAGAGCGAAGTGGCGGAAGCGCGAGCGCTATGGGAAGATCCAGGAGGGGCGGAACCCCTTCCCATCTCCCTATGACATCTCTGTGTTGCCCCGAACAGACAGCCACCCCCAGGTGAGACCCCTCTTCTCCTGACCCAGGGCCTGGCCAAGTCCCGTGGGCTGGCTCTGGCCCCAGGAAGACCAGAAGCAGCGTTAGGGCTTTGTGTGGCCGTGGGCAAATCACTTCTCCTCTGCAAAGTGGGGCTCTTCTGTCTCACAAACGGGGCACACAGACAGTTGGCACAAAGGAATCACCGAAGGCACCTCATTTGGAGGAGCAGTGGCAGGGGCCTCTTGAGTATGTCATTTCCAGTGTTGGGGGGGGAGTGGAGGGAGCAGATTCTAGACCTGGGCCATGTGGAGCTTTCCTGGTAGGTTTCTGGAGCCCTAGGAGCAAAGACAGAACCCTCAGGTGAGGGAGGCAGCCCCTGGGCTACTAATTCATGGGCCCCCTTCTCTTTCCAGCTGCAGAACTCCCTGTGGCCCAGTCCAGGGTCAGGGAGCCCCGCGGGACCCTGCCTCGTGTCTCCAGAGGGCATGCCCTCCCCGTGCATGTCTCCATACTCCCACTCTCATGGGAACGTAGCTGGCTTCATGGGGGTGCCGGCCTCCCCCGGAGCCCACCCTGGCATCTACTCCATCCATGGCTTTTCCCCTCCCCTGGGGGCCCACAGCTTTGAGTCTTCCCCAGATGGCGACTATAAGTCTCCGAGTCTCATCTCGCTCAGGGTGAAATCCAAGGAGCCACCCAGCCTACTGAACTGGACCACGTGATTGGCTGCACGGACACACAGACTAAGCTGCCCATCCCACCCCAGCCTGGAAGCCAGAGAGGACACACCTCTGCCTCCAAACCCCAGATGGTTCTCGGAGGCCCAGGCAGAGCAGCTGGGATCCTCAGCCTCCCGCAGGGAATAAGCTAAAGTTTTTTCTCTTAGAATAAGACGGGGCTGCCCAGGAGAAAGGGGCCTTCAAGGCAGGTAGGATTCTTCCTATGACACATTGAGCGCCTTCATCCAACTCTGGGCTGGAGGGAGGAAGACACTGCCCTGCTTCCTTCACATTTCGTCCAAGTTTAATGGTCATCCCTCCAGCTGAAATGACTGAATTGGCTTCTTATTCAGGGAACCCCATAAAATAAAAGGAGGACGCGGGTTGAACCAGGAGCAGCTCTTTGTGACTTAGGGGAAACCAGCCTTGCATGACGGCTAAGGCCAGCCTTATCCCCCCTCCCACCACCAGGGGGTGAGCGCTCAGCGTCTGGAGCTCACGAGGGCCTGGAAGCCCGCAGTCCAGCCGATGTCAAAGGTGCCCGCAGCCTGGGCGCTGGCTGTCCCTTACTCCTGCCCTGTGCCCCATGCCATGGAGTCCTCTTCCCCCGCCAAAGGGGCAGAAATTCCACCAAAGATTTGGATTCTCTTCTAGGGGATCAGGCCAGAGCAGGTTTCCTTGATTTACTCATCGGATGTTGGTGAGAATAAAACAGATTTCCACAGATTCAAAGGCCCTGAGATCTCAACCCTGATTTTTGTAAAAAAAAAAAAAAAAAAGTGTGCTGCCCAGCATAATAAAGATGGCAGTGTTTTTTACACTAGGCAACTGTGCATCCTCAGGGTTTGGCACTTGGTTATTTACGCTACAGCTGTCTGTGCCCAGGGCTCAGGCTCAGCCGGGCCCCCCTGAGGGGCCAGCAGGGATCCTGGGGGCTAGGGGAAGGTAGGCTGCAACAGGGCCCCAGGGCTGATACATGCCATGCCTGGCCTTGTCACCTGTCCAGGAGCTCTGTGGCTTCAGCTGGTGTGTGCGGGTGGCAGGAAGAGCCCCACTCTAGAGTCAAAGGGAAAGGGATGATGTGTTGGGGGGGGAGGGTAGGAAGGGCAGTGGGAAAGTGGAGATAAGCTTGTGGCTGAACTAGCGGCAGAAGGGAGGTGGAATGAAAGATGGGGGAGCCCACTGAGAGCTCCGAGCTCCCCTGGAGCAGTGGGGGTGGGACAGCCTCTTTCTCCCAGACGCCCCAGGAGCGAGTCTGAGCTGCGGGGCAGAGACAAAAGCCAGAACTCTTTCTTGTGGTTTCAGAGTATTAGCCATTCTATCCTTCATCCCCACTTTCTGCCTTATCTCCGCGGCCGGGAAAGCAGGAAAAAAGCAGGCCTGGCCTCCCACCCTCCCGGTAAACACAACCACATTGCTCAGAGGAGCTCAGCCTCAGCTAGCAGCCCGGGCACCCGCCCCGTGCCTCCTCTTCCAGGCCCAGAGAAGCCCCAGCACACAGACACCAGTGCTGTGCTCCTTCCCAGAGAGGGAGCACGTCCCCGAGCAGGTCAGGTTTTCCCGCCAAGACCGTCACCGTGGCTGGGCTCAAGCGTCCCTCAGAAGAAACCGTTCTTTCTTCCCCTCCCTTTATATGAGGCCCTGGCTTCTGGTTCGGGTGGGAGGCTCTTAGAGTCCGAGGCAGCCCCGTAGGAAGAGGCAGCCCTGGCACCTCCGATGAACACAACGCCCTTCACACAGCTGGCCAACAATGAGCCGAGGCTCAAACCCAAACTTCTAACTCAGGGCTAAGACCACTGCTCTATAAGTTTCTTTACCCAAGGAGTGACCAGCAAGACTTTGGACTTCCACATCACAAAGTCAGAGAGAAGCAGAAAGACTTGTTTGTCCTACAGATATTTACTGAAGGCCCAGTCTGTGCCAGGCATTGCGCTGGGTGTCAGAGACAGACCAGTGGTCAAGGAAAACACGATTCCCACTCTCACACAGCTTGGGGGCTGGGGCGGCGGGGGAAGGAGCTATGAAAGCAAAGGAAGCACGAGTGGGAAAGAGACAGACTAGAGAAGACAGTAAAGCCAAGCCAGAGAGCCGAGCAGCAAGAGTGGGAGAGGCAGGCAGAGGCTGGGAGCAAACTGGGAGGGAGGCCCTGGAGGGCGGGGGGAGGGCACGGGGAGGCCAGAGACCAGCTACTGGCTCTCATCCAGGGGCATCTGCACGCAGCTCATATTTTTCTGTTCAGTGACAGCTAAATGAAGAGAAAGCTAACTTTACAACCGCCCACTTCACACATAATGAATATGAATGGGCATCCCGGAGCCTGTTCCCCGGGATTATCTGTGAGCTGATGGTTTCTCCCACTGACTGGGCCATCCCAGTAGCCCTGTCCTCTGGCTGGGACACAGGCAGCCCTTCCACCTGCTTCCCATTAGCCATCCTCCTGTCCTCCCCTCCTCCTCCACACCTTAGACGTCTCACCCCTAAGACGCAGTGCCCAGGTCCTCAGGCGCCCCTGCCCTCAGCCTCACTCCGAAGGTGACCTTAGCCCTCAGCCTAGGTCCCAGGCTTCCCCAACACCAGGTTGGGGTGATGTTCACCCCTTCTGGAAAAGGAAATGGTTAGCAGCCCCACCTGCAATCCCAAATTTAAGAGTTGCTAGGCTGTGTCCCTTTGCTAAGGCTCCTCTGCCCCAGTGAGGCCCACCCAGAGAAGCCCTAAATCACCCTGGCCCGGGGCACAGACCTCAGGCCCCAGAGAGCCCTAGCTGCTAGCAGGCCTTTCAGTCCCCACTTCTGGCCTCAGGCCGGCATGGGGGAAATGCTTCTCATTAGAGGCGCTCAATCTTCCTTCTCCGCCTGCCCCAAAGCATTTACGCATCAGCCTGAATTACAACCCCCGAGTGCAGACCTTCCGCAGCCCCAGACTGGAGCAGAGCTGAGCATTGCCAGGAAGCGGGCAAGTCCTGTATCAGGCAGAGGGCGCACACCTCTCCCCACTCCCCCCACCCCCCCTTGGTCATCCCAGCCATTTTCAGCAGGGGCAATGAGCAAAAGGTACCCAGGCTCTTCTCCAGGAAAGCACTGGCCGGGACCAGCGGGACCCACGTGGCCCTGCAGACGTCCGTCTCAGTGCCGACCACATTACTGCTCTCACTTGCTGCTGTAGCCATCTGTCCATCTACTGAGAGCTTGTTGAGGAAAGTGGGAGTGTGGTACTCTGTTTAGCTGCACGCCCAGGGCAACCACAACAGGGCCTGGTCCAGAAGAGGCTTTCAAAGTACGACGGCAGAGTTGCTCGGTGAGTGGCTGACTTTTGAAAGCCTTCTCTATTTAGAGCAGTGAGCTCAGGATGAGGGATACAAGGAGACCTAAGACATTATTCTGGTCCTTGAAGGGGGGTGTGGGGGGGTCTCTTTTCCAGGGGACTCAGTAACCGGATGCAGTCTCACAGCGGGCTAGGGTGGGAAGGGCCATTAGCAACACTAAATAGAGATGTCGTTTATTAGCCTTAGAGCTATACTGGTCCTTGTCAGCCAGGTACTAGGTCTCCATTATCCGTGGTCTCATTCATGACCACTGTGCTATTATTACACGGACTTTTACAGATAAGCCACTGGAGGCTTGGAGCTTGATGAGCTCAAGGCCCTTAAGTGAGTAAACAGGAGAGACTGCAGCCTGAAGCTAACCATGACCAGGGTCAAATGAATGGCTCAGCTACTGCCTCTCCGAGCAGACGGTTCAGAAGAAGACAGACGGGAAGCCAGCCTCCTGGGAGAGAAGCCTAGCAGGTCTGGTGGGGCAGCCACACACGAGTCCTCTGTGGACGGGACAGAAAGACATCGAAGCTCAGGCTGAGAAGGAAATAGCAGCAACAGCTCCCCAATCACTTGATGGGGGCACATTTGGGGCATACCAGAGGCCAGTCCAAGGCCTAGCTGACGTTTGCCAAGAATCTTCTTGCCAAGGACTGTGCCTGAGCAAATACTAAGTACTGACCTAAAGTGAGTAAAAGAGCAAATGAATGCACTGGTGGTAAGTGCTGGGGAATAAAAAGGATTCATTAGAGAAAAGGCACGGTGGGGGGTGGGGAATGGGACGGATCCACTCGGCCAACAGAGACCTGGGTTGACATTCAGACTCTGGCTCTCATTATCCTGTGACCTTGGGCAAGTTCTTTATCCTTTCTGTGCCACTTTCTCGTGTGCAAACCAAGCACTGTAACGGTCTTGCTTTCTAGGGTTGTTAGAAGCAGTAAGATGTTATACATCAAGTGCTCAGGGTAGTACCTGGGACATTATGTAACTCAACCGCTTGCAAAGGGTCTTTGTGCACCCCGCCCATCTCAGAACCCCCAGGAGAAAGCCAGAGATGTGGGTGGCCACTCGTTCCAAGAGACATTTCTGTATAAGAGCCTGGATATGAACGGCCAGCCTAGCACTAGCACACTCGGTGGCTGTGACAAGGCTCTCTCTCCTAGGCCAGTCCCTGGACCTATGACGTATGAATTCACCAACTTACACAGGCTTTATGGCCGTTGCGGCTTTGGTCATTCTGTGCTCTTTTTTGCACAGATACATAGATAGATATTTACAGACCTTTGCAACCCAAAGACCTTTGCCAACTTTCCCAAGAGGGGAAAATGGCACCTCTAGTTAAGGGAAGCTTCAGAGGAGATTGGGGAAATCCAAAAAAAAAAAAAAAAAGGGGAAAGGAAGCAAAGCCCTCAGACAAGCTAGTGAGCCCGGCTGCCTGGTGGAGTATGACTGTGAACGTCTATCTGACCCAAACTAAAATCACAAGATGCATACTTCTTATTGGTCCTGGAAAGAAACAGCAGAAAATCCATCACGCACACACAAATTGTATCAAATTCCATTGTCCTGTGCAAGTTGCTTAGGGGCAAAAAGTCAATCAGTCACAGGGAATTCCTACGTCAGAGGCCGTGTGGCTTACAGAAAGAATACAGTGCTCGCTTCCCCTGTGACGCCCCTAACGTGCAGGCACATCCAGGCTTAACCTGGAAGCCCAGCTTGGGGGCTGCACTGAGGCTCAGCCAAAACCCAGGTCCAGCAGGTCCTGCACAGAAGAACCAACAAGAGGGACATTTCCTCAGAGTACATTTCCTACGCAAGTCAAGAGACTTAGGATCCCATACACATGGCCTAAAGATAAGATAGGAGACCCTTAAGTTACTCTGGAAAGGGAATGGTACTTTCACAAGCATCAGAAACAAAGCCTCACAATCGAACCAGGCGGAAGCAGACATGGGAAGGGATGCGAAGGCCAGGGAAAGGAAGGCCAGGTGCAGGCTCCAGGAGTCCGCAGAGCGACACCTCCCGAGCGGATTTTCCTCGCTTCTTCCCCCAGCAAGGCAGGCTCCTGGGCCCTCTGACACCCCCCTTCCCACTGTGAGGCTGACTCCAGACAGTCTGCTTCCTCAGGCTCTGGGCAGAGAAGCTTCCTCTGAGTCCCAACCACCTACCCTTGCGAGGGCCCAGGGCGGCTGACCCCCTCTCTGACCTAGCCCCTGCCCCTCCCCAGCACTGAAATTGGTTCGGCCGAGGCCCCCTCAGGAGAGCGATCTGGAGATGCCTGGGGCTCCTGCGGCAATGATGTCAAACACAGGGGTAAAGGACAACTTACCACCCCAGCAGCCCCGAGCCCTGGAGCTGGGCTGGAGCGATCCCAGACTCGTGGGGAGAAAACACCATGGATAAATGCCAACTCCCCCAGCGTCTCCCCCCCTCAGGTGGGAGGCAGGCAGCCTGGCAGGGAACAAGTGGGTGACCTATCAATGTCGGCAGGAAAACCTACTTTCTAGACTTACAGATACTCAGGGACCATACTTCCTGCAGACAAGGCAATGGGAGTCGTTTTTACTTCCTTTTAATGTAAACCAAATACACAAACACGTGAAAAACCCCCACGTGACACAAGAGAATACAGAGATTTATATATAGGTATTTACAGACCCTTGCAAACCAAGAGGAAAAATGGCACCTCTGGTTAAGGGCGGCTTCTCTTCCTAACCCTGTCCAAGATCAAAGCACTGAGGCAGCTGTTGGAGCCTCTGCAATTGCCTCTGGATGAAACTTAGCAGGAGCCTGGAATGACACCAGAAACCTCCCAAAGCAAAACCAAGAGTCCGACTTCCTAGCCCTGGCCCTAATCCTAAGCCCTCCCTCCTTGGCCAGCTGACGTGCCAAGGATTCGTTGTGTCTCAGAAGAGTCTCAGTGCGACCCCTGCCATTCAGATGCAATGGCTTCCCAGCCCATCTTGGCTTTTCCCGGCCTTGGGCTGACTAAGAAATGAGCTGCAACCAACCATGTCCAAGAGGAGAGGGTGGGAAGGAGTGAAGGAAGAGAGGATCCCAAGCAGAGAGCTGACGGCTCTGAGCAGGACGCCGGGAATGAACGAAGGGCCAAATCTGGACTCCCCCACAAGCCCAGCGAGGCCTCAGGAGGGCGCAGTGGGGCTGTGCTGCCACCTGGAGGGAGGTGGGAGCACTGCGGCAATGAACTGGGACAGCCCCTGGGGCACCTCCAGATCAGCCCTCCTTTCCTTTTCGGTCAGTCCCCTGTGCAGGAGCCTCACTGCAACAGCTCCTCCCAGGAGATGGGCTTGGAGAAGACCTCCCTTTCTAACCAGAGGTCGTAGTTCATCTGGAAGTCCTCAGGGAGGTCCACCCGCTGGCCCAGGACACTCTGCAGACAGTTGTCCACAGGCAGGAAGTCAGGGTTGCTGTGGGCTCGGTCATACCGCCGGGCATTGAAGCGTTCGATATTGGCACGGAGGGCACATTCCTCTGCCTGGAAGTCCCAGGGCCGGGCATCAAGATCTGGGACAAAGCAGGAAAGCATGTTTAGGAGCCAGGCCCCCGTGGCAGCTCCCCCTGGGTTCACTACCGCTCGGGCCAGGCTGGCCCCGGCCTGAAATGTTCAGCATCAGCTGGGAGCTGGAGACCTCTGATCTCCATCCTCAGGAAGACTGACAGGACTTTCTCCTTAGATAAAAAGGAAACTCAGGTAAAAATAGAGAAGCCAGATGTACAGGGAAAAAGGCCACACTGCAGTTTAGGGGGACCTGTCCAGGGAGAGCCAGAGGAATGACACAATTCTCTGAAAGTTACACTCTCTCTGGCTCTCTGAGATTGCTGGCTGGAAACTGCAGGTCCCATCAGCTGCTCATTTCTTCAGTTCCCTGACCAGGGACTTGGGGGCCACGTGGGTTCCACACAAATTCAGGGCACTGGGGTGCAGATGTGGTCACCTGGCCATGGGGCCGTGGGCCAGGAACCAGATGGTGCGGCGGCACAGCCAGGGAAGCCTGGAAGAGCCCACTCTGCCTAGAGGCCGAGGGAGCCGCCCAGATGGCAGGGATGCACGCAGATACCCAACAGTTAGGGGGAGGGGGGAGGCATCCTGCCGGGGGCAAGAAAAGTGAGGCACAACATGGCTCATGTGCCTGGACCCCTGTGTGTGATGGAGGCTGGGCTGAGAGAAGCTGGATCGGATTATGAAGGAGGGGAAGGGAGGCCAGGCAAGCCTCACATGCCTTACTTAAGAGTCTGGCTCAAATTCTAAGGGAAAGAGAAGCTAATGAAGGATTTTCCTTAGGGAGTTAGCCCCACAGGATCTGCTTTTTAAAAAGATCGCTGGGGCACAGTTTGAAGCACTGACGGAGAAGGAACTGGGGGCAAGGCAGCCATCAGGCTCTGTTGGGATTTCAGCGGCCAGAATTAAGGCAGCTGTGGTGGGGAGAGAACAGATGGGAAAGTATCTTGTGAGGGTTTCTGAAATAGGGTCTACCTCAGGGGGAGGAAGAGAGGAATGGGGGATGATCACAGACGCCAAGCCAAGGCAGCTTCTTGAAGTCCTTCCTGGAGCTCCTATCCTGATGCCAAAAAAGCAGGAACTGGACTCTTCAGGGTTCTAGAAAGCCGTCAGCCCCTTGCTCCGCCTGTGCCAGAGCCTTACCATTGCCATACGCCCAGTCATCGTTTAGCCGATGCCGCACCTTCTGGTAGATGGCGGACATGGTCTTCATGTTGCTCTTCCGCCACTGCCGCCCCAGATACTTGGTCTGCACCTTGAGCAGCTTCAGCACGTAGAGCTGCATCATGGCCTGTTTCACCTTCAAGGCCCGCTTCAAGATGGGGGCCGACTTGAACACCACTAGCATCTGGGAAGGGGCAAGAGGACCAGGTTGAGGGCAGAGACACCGGCACTACAACCTTGCCACTTACCGCTTCCAGGGTTAAGGGTAATCAGCCGTGCGGGTATTCCCCAGACTGTGGGGTGTTCCCAGGCACGGACTCCCCACTGCTAAATTCACGGCTCATTGAGAAATCTGAGGAAAGCCATGAATCCTCTCACTGCGAACGTTCCTATGTGCATGTATGTAAAATCTCTGAGGATTCATGGACCTCCCTACCCAAAGGTGTCCTCAGACTCAGGGTTAAGGGAAACTCCTAGAACCCTGGTTCTGTTACCAGTGGAGATTAAGAAGATGGAGTAAAATCCCTTCTCTAAGTGTCGATTTGGCTCAGGGCAAGACTAAGCCTCTTCTAGCTTCTAGTTCAACTCAGCAAGGAGCCAGACAGCAGCCATTAACAAGCAAGGATGGGGCTACAGGAGAGTCCCATGAAAAGGGGACAGGGCAGCAGCAAGCCTGCCCCAGGGCCATCTTGGGAGGGGACAGCACGAAGTGTGGCCTTCTGCCTTGAGCTCCGAGTTCGAGCCCGCTGCCCACACTAGCTCACCATTGTCCTCGAGTGCTTCCATTTTGTCAGCTTGTTCAGGATCCGAAGCAGATTGATGCAAGAAAAGAGGTTCCTCCAGCAAAACTGGTTATTGTCACCTGCTTCCTGCAGGGAAACCCCAGGAACGACCATGACTCGCACAGCCACGGGGCGCTCAGTGCTCTCCAAGGCCCTCTCACCCCACTCGGAACAGCCAGCTCTCTCCTGGCCTGTCCCGGCAGCCCTCTCCTCTTGTCAGCCCAGAGCTTGGCGGAGGAAAGGAGCCCCCTCGAGTTCTTCTGCAGGAACCACGGAGTGTGATTTGAGGGGTCTGTGCCGTCAGCCTCCTCACCTGGGGCACCCACACTGGGGCCCTTGCGGAGCTGTGCCCCACAGAGACCCAGTGTGAAAGGGAAAGCACTAGACCAGGGGAGCTCTGGGTCAGCAACCCCTGAACACCACGTTCCTGTATCCAAATCTGTCCACTCTGCAAGGTCCTTCCTCCAGCCCTTCTATGCAATTTCAGTGCTTTAAAAACCAGCACCCAACAGTGACCTCATCTGTGTACCCCTCAACACCTGTGTCGGGGGAGGCAGGTCCTCAGACACCACGCCCCCGCCCCCACGCCAAAGAGACAGTGTGGCTCACCAGACTCTCAGCGGTCAGCTCCGGCAGCTCATGCACCACGCAGTGGGGGTAATCCAGGACAGAGATGCTGCGGGGGTTAAGAGAGGCCAGCGACCACCGTGAGCAAGGCTAGGGGCTGGACAAACAGCTGGGGCACGGCTGGCTCCTGGCCTTCCTCACTCACTTGCTAGGAGGGGAAGCAGGACTGCCTAGCCTGCACTCCCTGCATTTCCCCAGCTAGAGGACGACCAAGTCCCCATTACAAGTGAACTTATACGGTCCCTCTACGCCAGAGACCAGCCTGTCATCTTGTAAGGCCCACAGACCCTGCTTTCCCAAAAGCAAGGAGTCTGGGGCTGGGGAAGACAACCTCTCAAGGCAATTAACGTATGCCCAGCCCCTCACAGAGACGGTGTCTGGCCCACAGCTCGCTCTGCGGTGCCCCATCAAATACAGCTGGCACCAGGCGAGGGGGCCAGGGGTAAGAATCAGCAGGTGGGTCCTTACAGTGCACAAGGCAGAACTCCTTGAAGAATATAAAAGCACACAACAGTGAGGGCCCAGATGAGAACCCTCCCACCCAGGCGCAGACCGAGTCACCTGTCACTAGACCAGCTGGACTCAGACCTGACACACTGGCATTCGCCACAGCAGAGACCATGACTCGTTCATCTTTGTGTCCCGAAGCCCGGCATGGGGCTGGCTTGCAGGTGCTGAATGAGCCCCGGAGACGACAGCCAGGCCTCTGGCCACCTGGCCATCTCTACCCCTTCCTGATCCCTCGTCCTTATCACCTGTTCTTGGCGGTGATGTAGGACATGATGTTTTGATTGAAGAACTTGAGGATCAAAGGGATGCAATTAGCAAACACCAGGTGCTGGGCCATGTATTCAAACTGAAACCAAGAGAAAAAATTAGGCATGCCTTTTAGGACCTCACCTTCTTCCCTCCAGTGATAAAAGGCCTTGGTTGGAGGACTGTGTCTTAAAACACTCATGCAGAGCTCAAGGGGGTCTGAAGGGCAAGGCCTCTGTTCTTCAGGGCTAGAGGAGCAGCCCTGCCTGAAGCCCTGGCCCAGTGAACAGAAAGGAAGGCCCCACAGGTACCTGGTAGACGTGGTTCAACTTAAAATGCTTGAGCAGCAACAGCAGGACAGCAGAAATGGCCTTAACAATGACCTCTTTGTGACGGTTCACATCCACCCCCAGCTTCATGCTCTGCAACACCGTGGTGCTGGAAACATGATTTCCGGGTGAGCCACCGGCATGGGCAGCACCACCTTTTGGGCGCTCGCAGGAGAGATGGGCACCCTGAGCCTTCCCCGGGCAAAGGTTCCCACCTCACCACCCACCCCATGAACAGCCCGTGTCACCCCAGGGACAGCTCCGAGACCAGGCCCCGGGCTCCTCCCGCCCACCTCAGCAAGCAATCCGGCTCTGCACCACTTGCTCCTTATGGGGCCTCAAACACATTCTTAGCCCATTTCCCTGCTTTTCTTCCCCAAATGAAATTCTCCTTTTCAAGATCTTTCTAAACTTTTGCCACGAGATGAACTTGGGTTTCTCAAAGTGTATCCTGTGGAACACTAGTACATGTAGACGTTTCATGCTACAGAGAAAAAAGCGCTCTGGAGTCAGATAAACAGAAGAAGCACTGAGTGAAATCGGTTTCTTAATTCAGGACTTCTCACTGTAAGTCTCTCCAAGAGAAGATTTAATATTGGACTCTGGGACCCTTCTTCCAAAGACCATCATGATGGCCAGTGTTCTGGGACACTCCCTTTGGTAGTCGCCAATCCCTGCCTCCTCCCTCGCCCAGCTGTCACTGCCAGACTCACGGGGCCCAGGCCCCAGGGAGACCGGCTCAGAGCTGGCACCAGGAAGGAGGTCAGATCGAAGCTCAGGCCCTTCTCAAAGCAGAAAATGATCTTGTTTGGTACTCTCACATCAAAGCAATGAGGTCCGTGCCTTGGGGAAAAAGAAGCCCTAAGGATTCCACTATCAGCCAGAGATACCCGCAACCCCCCACATGCCAAATCACCGGCGACCAGGAAAGAATCCGTTCCCAGCTCAGGTTCAGCCGTAGGCTGGTAAACTGTCCAAAAGCTAAATCTACACGTCCTGGACGTGCTGCTCACGCAGCTTTCGAGGGAGAGTTTCAGGAAATGTCGAACACAGCCTGATTCATCTTACAGAGGTTCATTCAGCGGTAGTTTCCACTGGAATCCAGGCCGACCACACTAAGCCACTTCCCCAGCCAGTAAAACTAAGTATTTAATCTGATACATTTTCTTTCTTCTGAGTCAGGAATACCCTAAACTTAACCTACAGAGAAATTAAGCCAAAAAAAAAACAAAAACAAAAACAAAAAAAACAAAACCAACCTAGCAAGGGTGGGACCAGAGGAAAACACTTCCCTATACCCCTCTCCTGGGGCCCCTGACCTGCTCCATTCACAGCAATACCACTTACGGCATCTCCTCAGGCAGCACGTCTGCCAGGATGTTGATCGAGTCGGTTTTGGCTTTCGAGGTGGGGGCGGCGGCCAACAGGATCTTCAGCAGCGCAATCTGGGGGGAAGCGGGAGAAGCCCTGAGAAGTCGTCCTTCAGAAGGCACTGGGGCGGGCGGTCCCACAGCAGGTACCAGTGACGGGCACCGGAGGGGTCCCAGGGCCGGAGCACTCACCATGTACTGAGGCAGGCTGGGGAGCAAGCCTTGGTACAGGGTTTCCGCAGGAACTTGCTCCACGTCCTCTTCTCCCTTGGAGCACAGTAGGTACAAACACAAAACCGCAGTCTGACTATGGGGCCCCCAGGCCAGCTTGCTAGCTGGCTGGAGGAGACTGTTGAGTGTCGATGTAACTAACGATGTCGAGAACGATGGCAGGCCTGGAAGAATGCACACGCTACCCGTGCCAGGCACCAGGCTTGCAATAACTTGGTTAATCCTTACTGCAGCTCTCTGAGGGAGGTACTATTTTCATTCCCATTCTACAGGTGAGGAAATTAAAGCACAGAGAGATTCAGTAACTTGCCTAAGTTGCCACCTACCAAGTGGCAGGGCTGGGTGTCAGAGGCAGGTGGCTGGCTCAGAGGCGGTGCTCTTGACCACCACACTAGACATGCGCCACCCCTGCTGTGGGAGCGAGCCTGGGAGGTTTTTGAGGGCAGGGCCTGGGACAGCTTTGTGGTCTGGGCCCAGCTCGGTGCCTGGGAGCTGCTGGAGGCCCAGTGGCTGAAGGCGGCCTCGGACTCACCCCCGAGAGAGGAGAGCGAAGGTACTCTTCCTCCATCTGTGCCTGTACCTCTGCAATCGACGTGTACTTGTGCTGGAGAGAGAGCGGGAACACCTCTCAGTTTCTGGCCAGAGCCCTGCACCCTGGCAAAGAGCCCATGCGACTTCCCTCAAACCTGAGCTGCTCAAAGAGAGCTAAGTTGCCACAAAGATCCCTAACTCAAATCCTGAAATATTTTCTAAGTGGCACATACTTATTAAAAACAGTCTAAAAAGCACACATTAGAAAAAAAACTTAAGGAAACGGGCTTTCAGACAGCTATAAAGACAGAAAAAAACTACGGAAGGGAGAATCAAGTACTCAGAAGTACTCAAGTACTCAGAAGCAAGTATTCAAAAAGCCTAGCCATACAAGGCCGGCTTCATACTACAAATCTCAAACACGTACTTCAAAAATATATCAACATTTACACCGCCGACAGGCTGTCAGGGAAGACATCCTTTCCTCACTCTTGAGGCCATGTGGAGACATGCACGTGTAAAAACTCCTGGTCTCCCTACCTCTTCCCACATGCTCTTTCCTCCCTTTGCTGACTGGCGGGTATGGAGGAGGAACAGGATTTTCTGAGCCCAACCTCCTTCTCTTTTCTCTTTAGAAAAAAGAAAAGCCTGTGTTCTCTTCTGCTCCTCAACCAGGCTTAGCGGGGTTCCAGCACTACTGGCCCCATCTGCCTAATTCTGGAAGTATTGCACTGGGACGCAGATTATTGCCATGTTCTTACGGCTCATTCTCCAGTCACTCTAACAGCAGTAAAGCCGGTGTTTTCGATCTCCATCTGCCCGCTCCTTGATTTCAAATGCCTTAGACTTAAGGCTAGGAAAAGGGAGGCCTACTTATCGGGCTCCTTAAAACTCCCACTGTCACGTAGATCTTTAACCCCCCAGTTAAGTCCCCAACAAGAGCTTAGCTCTGGTACGTAAAACTTACAAAGAGCTGTGTTAAAGAGTACTGCTGCGGTCCACACGTTCCCCGCCCCCAGCTCCTTCAGGTGCACAACCGCCTCAAAAGGTTTCTCCCAAGGGGCTGCTCTCACTTTACTCACTTGGGACCAAAGTAGGCCAAAAGCTCACCCAAGGCTGCCTACCTGTTTCAGAGTCTTGATGCTTTCGTGGATTGGCCTGGGCAGCCCTACCACCGTGTTCGTGTCACTGCAGAATAAAGAAAGGCCTGTGCTGAGGCCAGACATCAATGCGCCTCGATCCACAAACACCAGAGGCCAGGAGAGTGAACTCCCGCTACCTTTCTTCAAAAGAAACTCAGATCACACTCACCTGCCTAGAGTGTAACCTATAAACTTGCTACGGCTGGACTCGAGGAACATCTCAATGTCTTTCTCTCTGCCAAAGAGAACAAATAAAGTTTTTATTAAATGTTATTTCAAGGAGTCATGGTTAATAAAACATAGAAGGTTCAGAAATTGCAAAGCCAGAAGAAAAGGTCTCCCACCAGTTTTTCTTTTCAGTAAAAAAAAAAAAAAAGAAAGAAAAGAAAATATTCCAACTGTTTTAATGTCCTTTATAATGTTGCTGAATCAATAACCTGAAAATATATTATGTGTAACCAGTTTACCTGTAAAACTAAGATGATACATCAAACTTAAAAGCACATGTCATTCAGATATTGGTAACAAGTTTGTCAAAAGAATTTCTCAAATATGCAAAGTTTTTACAACAATTGGACCTATAAGCTTCTGATACGTTCACAGGAGTCCTGTTTTCCTGGCTCAAACAAGCAGCACAGCTCGTGATTTCTGAAGACCTGCACTGTAATCCCATCCACAGATCACTGAAATCTGGGGTTTCAGACTAAGAACGTGCCTTCTGTATCCTTTCACACACTCACCTATTTCTTAAGTTGATGCCTTTTTAAACAGAAACCACTTCTACCCAGGTACTTCCCCACCTGACTTATGCACACATATCTCAAACACCTTGAGAATTAGGATTCTCAAGCTGTTCCTTAATCTTTAATTTTTCTGTTAAAAACCAAATACAACCCCAGGGTGAGTGGGAAAGGGTTCAGTTAAATGTCCTTATTTTCATTTTTCCCTATTCCCCCTTCATTAGTGTGACTCTAACCAGAGCTAACTCATGTTCCTGATTCAAGGTCTCTCTGTTCAAGGCCGGCACCCTGGGGCCTCCGGGCCAACACAGGGTACCTTCTCAGAGCCAAGGTCAGCCTGGCCCTACAGAGGACCTCGTGCTGGTGACTCCGGCCTGGGGCAGGCCTGGGGGCGCAGGGCCTCTGGTTTCAAGAGCCAGGAGTGCCCCTAGTGTCTGAGGCTCACCTGACCTTGGGCGCCCATGGGAGCCCCTTGGGGCAGGTAAGCCTGTCGCTCTGAGTGTGCTGCAGCGGAGGAGGCATCACTTCGTCCCGCTCCAGGGGGAACGTCTCCCCCTCCAGGCTGTTGTCATCATCATTCTCCTCTTCCTCTTCTCGAGAGTCATCAGCCTTGTACGGATCCCGCTCGTTGAAGGCATCCAAGTTGTCCTGTTTTATCAGCGCCTGAAAAGAGAGGGAAGGGGAATCGGACAAGTGCCACGCGAGGCACCGGAAGAGGTCAAGGAGGCTAGACAAGCTATACCACAGTGAGGTGGCAGGCAGAGCCAAGGGCAGTGGACCAGAGAGGAAGTCAAGGGGGGCCTAGAGGACAAATCCTTTCTTGCCGCAGTGCCTCAAAAGTGCCACATGGAGAGTACCCACAATCGACTGGGCCCTGGGCTGAAGATGCAGTGTCGCTGGCTGGGAGGCATTCATTTGGACTAGCTGCTCAGAGAGGACTTCCAACAACCCCCCCACCCAAGGACCAGGCTGTCATGCGTTGTGCACCTCAGACCCCCGGGGGTGATGGGGCACACCGGTCACCCTCACCTTGTGCTCCCGACGGCCCCGCTTCTGCTGCTGCTCAATCAGGTCCGAGGCAGATGCCGGCGGAGAGGCAGCCCTCATGTTGCGGATCACCTTGATGCTGTCCTCGGGCAGTGGGGGGAGGCCCAGGATGGAGCGCTTCTCAGCCTTCATGCTCTGCAGCTCCTCAAAGCCGCCAAGAGTGCACTGCTCAGGGTACAAGGGGTGGGGCCGGGGTCAACACAGCTACAAACGGGTCCCTCAGCCCCATGTGAGGCTTGAAAGCACGCAAGACACCACGGCCTGCATCAATCCCTGATCAAGGGACTAAACCCATTCACACGAGAATTCAGCAACACCGATGAGGGAGCGGAGAAAACAGACCAAGGGAAGGAGACACGTGGGCTGACTGAGCTAGTGCACACACACTCAGCAATGTACACAGGATATATACTCTTCCTGTCAAAAAAGCAGACTGAAGAACCTATCCCTTCAGGTTTCTAGAAAAGTCTGTGAGACTCATGTGCTTCAAAAGCTGTACAGACTAGTGTTTCAAATTCAAATTGGAAATAAGTTATTAGATACTCCAGTTTTCTTTTAAAGCCTCCTCTCAGCATCCCCCTAGAAGCCACAACCCCGGGGATATTCGGCTGCTGTCTCTGGTTCGGTGAGGCTTTGTGAGGAACCAAGAGGATGTCTGACGGAAACAAAGTGTGCATACCACTCCAAAGAGACCCTACACTCGCGAGCCTGGCTCTGCAGAGTTGGCCTGCTCTGAAAAGAGGGAGGTGAGCCCCAGAGGGAGATGGAGTCCCAGCTGCAGCTCTGCTCCCTGCTGAGGTCTCCTGTCCAGGTGGGAGAGGCACTGAGCTGACATGGCCCCCAAGCCAGGGGTGCAGCTGTCCCTCCCCAGCCAGAAACAGGCTCCACGCCACACCCCGAGGAAGATGGTGCTAGCCCAGGGCTTGCTCTTGCTTCCTTCATGTGACCCCATGACTGAGGGGACCTGATAACACCAGCTCTAATGCTGCTTCCAATCACTGTACTGATTCCAGGTTCAGAAGTGGCCTGTCAGGGGGGAAGGTGTTTTATGACCAGAAAAGCAGCTCCAGGAGTCAAGGAGCCAACAACCTACTCTGACTCAATGACCAAGTCCTCCCTGCCTGCACTGAGCCAAAAGTGCTGTCTTGTTTTAAACCAAAGCAGTTGGTTATATATTAATTTATATATAGTTTTTCATATAATTCAACATTTAAGAGGATATACAGTGAAGTCTCTCTCCTGCCCTGACCTCTAGCAGCTGAGTTCTCCTTCAAGGGGGTGCTCACCAACACTGTCTTCCAGAGAAGTAGGAGAACCTTCTTCATTGGGAAGTGAGGGGCATGGCCGCTGCAAAATTTGGTCACCATCCCAAACAGCATGATGGCAAACGGTTCGTTGTTGTACACGGGGGAACCTAGAGGAAACACAAAGTGATCAGAGCCACCAGCAGGAACAGGACCCTCCCAAAGGCCAGCGGCCTCAGCTCCCGGGCAGAGCTCAACCCCCCAGATGTCCAGGGGCCCTACCCAGCTCGGCCCTGAAGGTCTGTCGCATGGTCCTCCACTCGGCCTTGTCGCCCTCACACTCCTGGTGAACGGTCTCCACAATCAGGTACATGATGTTGAGCAGTACCCTGGGAACAAGAGCCAGTCACAGTGGTGCAGGATGGGGAACCAAGGGGCGTCCTGGCCTCTTCATGTCCCAGCTAACATGAGGAAAGCTGGTGCACAAAGGCCAGATGGTGGCAGACGGCTATGAAACAGGGAAAACTGAGGCCCACAGATTCCCTCTTGGCGTGCCCTTCTTATGCCAGCTGCTAAGGTTACGACCTGATCTTACTCTGCCTGCTATTCCAGCATCGAGCTAAGTGCTTACTCAAAGCAAGTGCTTAATCAAGAAATGGTTGCTGCATGCACTGATATGAACAATAGCAGCCAAAAGCATTTACTGCCTGAAGCTTCCCGGCGCAGGAAAACTCAGGTGGGAGCGAGCTGTGGAAGTAGGTGCTGGGTCAGAAGCGGCAGCACAGGGTCAAGCAAGAACAAGCAAGGGTCACCATGATGGAGTGGAAATCGGGAGCGAGCGGGCAGTGCCCAGAGACCCACCCGCAGTGGGCACCCACACTCAGACTGAAAACTCCCATACAGAGTCTAAGCCTCACAAAAACGGGAAGATGATCTTAAGGTTTAGCAGTTGCTATCACTTCCCGCGTGGCCATAAGACGTCACGAAGTAGATGGGGGTCGAGCTACCCACGAGAAGGAGGAGCCCAAGGAACCATGTCGTGTGTTTCACCCAACACAAAATACCACACTGCAAAGTTCTCGGCGGCAGTGTGGGCAGGAGGCCGCACCTCACCATGGCTCTAGTGAGCGGCTTTCCCCTAGATTTCCTTTAGTGGCCCCATCCGAGCCCCCTAGGGAGGGCCCTCAGCAGGGGCCAGCACGGGACACACGGAGATCAGCATGCGTGGAAGGAGTATGCACAGTGAGGACACCTGAACCTGCCCCCAGATCCCTGCTCCGAGCCTGCGCTTGGGGAGTCCAGACCTCACCTCAGGTCTGTGCTGTCAGCCAGGGAGATGGCCGGCTTCCTCACTGCGCTGCTGCAGGCCGCACTGTTGCTGCAGGAGAAATGTGGGAGTCAGGCCCTCCTCCAGGAAGGAAGAGGAGAAGCTGCCCTGACAAAGCTGGGGAATAAAACGCTACATCACGTGTTACGACTGCCCAACAGGCCAAAGTTCAACGTGACTAGCCTGGAGCTGGGACCACCCCTCGGCCCCATGTGGCCCACTCGCTCTTCTCAAGAGTGGTTAGTTCTGCAAGCTCTGTCCCCTCTCCCCACCTCCCCTCCCCAAGCTCCTCAGAAGAACTCACTCTATCTCCATATTCAGAAGCTCCACCAAGGCATTGAACGTGCCCACCTCCAGGAGCAGAAAGATGTTGTAGCGCATCCAGGACTGCACCTCTGCCTCTGAGCCACACTCCCCGAAGGTGCCTGCCAACACAGGACACAGCTCACTGAGCCCCTCCCTGTACTTGACGGGGTGGTGCCGGGGCGCCTGGGGGCCCACTTGGTACCTTGGGCAACGTAGAGGATCGCCCGAGCCACCCTGAGCCTCTTCTCCCTGGCGGTGACTTCCAAGCCATCCAGGAGCCTCATGGCATGCGTACGGTGCTGGCTGGTGTCCAGCTCGGTCCATTTCTTGTCCGTTACTGCAGGGCAAGAGACCAGTTACACCTGAGCCCAGAAAAGTCCTCACGATGGAACGGGCACAATGGTAACTCCCCGCCCCGAGTTCAGGACCCGAAAACTCTCTCGGTTACTCTCTTACAGCAGTGTTAAGGTCACAATGCTGCTCTATGAATTTGAATCTCCAGACTGGAAACACGACTATTTTTGGTGCAATTTCAATCACATAAAAAGTTCCTCCCCCCAATACTCACGAGCTGAGAAGCCACCACCAGGGCACCAGCAGGCCCACCCTAAAGGTCCCATGTGGCTTTGACCAATCATGGTTCAGCAGGTTTCGCAGGCCCGTCCGGGTGACTCCAGCCACTCAGCTGGCTAGGAGAAACCCTGCGGCTCTATGAAGCCCGGTGAAAGGAACCGAGAAGTGAGGGGAATCATCTCACCGTGGATCCGGAAGTCTTCCTCAAAGCATTTTCGGTTCATCAGGAATTCTGGCCCTTCCGTGTAGCTGTAAAGCTCTATCAAGAACAAAGCCTCATCAGCTCCGTGTCCACATTCTGTAGCAGGTCTCACACATAGCAGAGAATGTAAAGCGTTTGCTTCTGGGCCCTATTCTGTCCCTGAGTCACAGTGACTCCGGGCCTCTCCCATTACTAAGGGGAATCTTAGTGCTCTCACGGGCATGACAGAGAGAGTGCTGACTTCCCCTGCAGCAGATAATCAGAGTGCCAGTTATGTACAAATCCAGGCATTTCCAGTCTGGTGCACATCGACCCCTCCATGCCACAGGCTGACTGCCACCACGGACACGTGTCTCCCGGTGGCTACGATGGCGGCCTGGGGAGCAGCTCAGGCTAGCGCATGTTACACACGAGCGGCAGATGTGCACGGCACGGGCACGCTTGTTGGCATGCCCCATGACCCCCCGCCCTAGGAGAGGCCACCGCCAGGCAGGCGGCGGATGGCAGAGGAGCATCACCGTCTGTGACTGGGCCACGGCCAACTACCTGACCGCACCAGGTGCCTCACCAAAGAAAGGTGAACACCAAAGTTATGAACTATACAAGGTTGAATCCCATAATTAACATGTTTTATCTATCTATCTGTCTCATCACCAGGGGATGAGCCAGAGGAAAAAAAATGAATGCCAAAATGACATTCACTCTTAATTGTATTAAAAACAATTGGGAGAAAACATGCCCAAATAACATGAAGTCTGTGCTTTACCCGAGAGCTCTGCAGCCCACTTGTCTGTGTCAGCATACTCAAACTCGAGGTCTGGGGACTCGGAGTAGCCCTTTTGAGAAAAGAAGAGAGGGTAACGCAAAAGACCGTTGTGAGTGTTGTCCAAAGGAAGAGACACACGTGCGCCCAGAGACCCTGCCGTGTGACAAGACACCATCGCCTCCACTTCTCTGAGGTTTTATCACGTTTCGTCTCCAGGGCGAGCTCAGGTCTCCCGATTAAGGCCTTGCACAGCACCTTCCATTTTTCCTTAAGAGAGCTTACAACGGAGAATCACACAGGCACGTGTATTTGTTTTGTGTCTCCCTCCCCACGAGAGTGCAAGCATCCCAACAGTGAGAACTCTGTCCACTCTGCTCACCAACGACTCCACAATGCCCAGCGCGCTACCTGGCCCGAATGAGGGAATGAATGGAGAGCTGAGAGTCCAATAAATTCTCATCAGATGAATGAACACTGCACATATTCTGTGCAGTGAATGGACCATTCCACATGGTGCTAAGATTCCGGAAGCCTCACTTCTTTCTGGCTAGTAGGTCATCAACAGCTCCGGACAATGTGAGTATTGATGCTCTCAGCTTTCTTGCCCTTCTCTCAAATTTCAGTGAGAAGGTAGCAGCCTAAGAGTATGATTTCCCTTCCCTCCCACACACAGGAGAGAATCTGACAAAAAGAATCTTTTCACTGACAGGGACTGGTGGTCACCGAGAAACACCATCTTGGAAGCCTTGTGCTCGGAAGGGAGAAGAGGTGACAGGGAGAAGAGGTGATGAACACGTAGAGCCCTCAGGCTTAATTATAAGCTACTTGGGAAGACAAAGACCACCCACAAAATGACATAACAAACCCACAGAAACTGAAAAAAAAAAACAAAAAAACAAAAAAAACTCTACTCCATCAGAGGCAGAGGTGTACACTTTTACAAGTTAATGAATTTCGGTTTCTTCATTTATGGAAGAGGGATGACAAAAATCTATCTTCAAGTTTTTTTGTTTGTTTTTGAAGGAGAGAGACAGAGCATGAGTGAGGGAGGGGCAGAGAGAGAGGGAGACACAGAATCCAAAGCAGGCTCCAGGCTCAGGAGCTGTCAGCGTAGAGCCTGATGCAGGGCTCAAACCCACGGGCTGTGAGATCACGACCTGAGGCAAAGTCAGACGCTCAACCAACTGAGCCACCCAGGCATCCCTATCTTCAAGGTTTTTAAGGCCGAATCAAAATCATGGAGCACACAGCGGGCTCTCATCAAGTGTTGGCCTCCCTGTCCTCCAGGCACTGCTCGGGCTCCCAGCCCACCGAGTCCAGCTATGCCCCCAAAAAGCTGAGCGCAGCACCAGCATCTCTAAGAAAACGACTCGAAACAGGTCTCTCAGCTTGAATGTGTTCACTGACTGGCCTTTCGTGTGTTTAGTTTAGTGTCTTAGAAAAAGACATTTAAATGCATCAAAGGGTATTCATTTGATCACCTGTGGCTACTTAGGAAAATTTAAAACTAATTTTATTTATTTTTATTTTTGAGAGCCAGCAAGGGAGAGGGGCAGAGGGAGACAGGGAGGGAAGAAAGAAGAGAGAGAGGGAGAATGAATCTTAAGCAGGCTTCATGCTCACCATGGGGCCCAATCCTACAACCCTGGAATCATGACCTGAGCCAAAATCAAGAGTCAGATGCTCAATTGCCTGAGCCACCCAAGGCACCTCCATAACTAGTTTTAAACTAAACTCCTCCTCTGATAAAGGTAGGCTCACCCCCCAACTTTCATACTCCTCCATCACCCCACAATGCAAAGGCTTCTAAAAACTCAGATTCATTGCTTTTTCAAATGATTCGATTCAAACAAAAAAGGACCTCTACTTTGGACTTAGCAAATTCTGACACGTTTTACCAGAGGTCTGCACTAGCCAACAAAATACAAAAGCTTGGGAGGAACTGATTTCATATATCTAAAGATGGTATCATCAGCCTCTGGTATGACCTGGTACACTGCGCCTGGACAAGGAGGAATTCCCTATCATTAAGCATCTCACTACTGACCCGCCCCTGAGTTACCCCAGGTGGAGACCTCACGGGATATACTCTGGGAACGTGCTGATTAAGAAGCCCTAAAGGGCGGCGACGTGTGTGTCTTCATTCATGAAATCTACAATGGGAGGCAGTGGGAGGAATTCTTTAACTCCGGGTGAGATGACTAGTCGGTTCCAGACTACGGTGTCTCCGGAACCAGAGGAACACCCCACCAGGCAGCGAGGCAATGCTGAGCCCTAATGCATGTTTACAATGCCTATTTATGATTGTTAACAGTTCGGCCCAGGACGCATTAGGCACTGTCAAACTACGGCCAGGACCTGAACTAGCTACGGTCAGAGAGAATAGGGAATGTTACCAACACCTACTCTCAGAGACGCCGAGCGCGTAGTACTATTAGCGATAATTAGCTCCGTCCGGTTTCGAGCTCCCTTCGCAGCCCGCACACACCGCCCACCGAGCGCTGCAAAGCCCACAGGACCCGCGGGCAGAGATGCTTAGGGGTCCGGACGCAGCCGCCCGCCCGCCTGCCCGCTGGAGCGCACGCAGACCCCTGACTCCGCATCCCCGAACTGGGGCCGGGGGCGGCTTCCCCAGGCGCTGGGGCCCGGAGGCCGCACCCTCAGCCCCCGCCCCAGAGGAGCGAGCGAGCAGTCGCCGGCTCCGGGTTCTCCCGAGCGGCGGAGCTCGGGGACGGGACCCCGACTTCACACCCCCGGCTGCGGGGATGCCAGCCTTGTTTCCTGCTCCTTTCTCTGTAAAATGACAACTCCTCCGCCGGGCCATGTCCAACCCTCCGGGAAGCCCAGCTGGAACCCGAGAGCGGCCCCGAGCCCCCCGCCGCCGCCCGCCCGGTGCCATCCTCGCCCCCCGAAGCTCCTGACCTCCGAGTCTTTGCGCTGGTTGCGGTTGAACTCCCGGGCTTTGCCCCCGGGCAGGAGGCCTCCGCCGGCCCGCGGGGCTCCGGGTGGAGGCTGCGCGGCTGCGGGTGGCGGAGGTGGTGGCGGCTGGGGCTGTTTGTTGTTCATGATCAGCGGGCCGGGGCCGCCGGCTGCCGGCTCCATCTTGGCTGCTCCACACCCCCGGAGCACTTCACGGACTGTAAGGCGTGATGCAACTCTCGCGTGATTTCCTCCAGGAACCCTCCCTCGTCGCCATATTAAGTGTGGCGGCACGTGCTGGAAGCCATCTTGGCTGCCCAACACCTCGCCAGATTGCCTCTGACGCGGCTCTTCCCCAGTCTTTTTGGATCTCTCCTCTTTCAGTCGGTGTTTAGGTGCCGATTTATCTGTGAGTCCTCCCGTAGCTCCTTCGGTCAGTTTAGTTGCCCTGCCTTCCTTTAACATAGCTTTGCACTTGTCACTGCTATAGCTCTATTCAAAACTTAGGAGATATAATGGTGAACAAAATGGACACGATCCCAGTTTTCACTGAGTTTACATTCACTTGTTTATGCTAAACAAATGAATAAATCAATAAAACAGATTTGTGACAAACATGCATTTATCATTCATTCAATAAACACTTACTAAATGCTTCCTGTGCTTTCAGGCAGTGCGATAGAATGGGGAAAAAATCAAGTTCCTGCTCTAATGGTACATAACTTAGAACCTAGTGGGAGAGGTAAAGAATGAGCACACAAATAGGGTATTAGAGAAACAAGTGCTGAGAAGAAACAGAAAGAAGTGTAACGGATTAGGTAGTGGCGGTGATGATGGTACTCATGGCTATATTAGGTTGGATGCCCAGGGAAAACAAGCCTGAGAGTATGATTTTAAATGAGTTCTGAAGAAGCACCATTGAGGCGATTCAATCGGAGGGACCGGCCAGCTACAGAGGCTCTGAGGTCAGTGGGTCAGGTGAGTGAGCCAGGGAGAGGAGAGGAAAGGTGGAGAGGAGGGCCAGATAATGCAGAGCCATGAAGGGCATGACAAATTTTTGAATTTTATTCTAAGTGAAAAGGAAAACCATGAGAGAATGGTAACCAGGGAGGTGTCAGGGTCTGATGTTTAAAAGACCAATCTGGCTGCTTTTTTGGAGCAGGGATTTGAGAGTTGAGAATGGATGAGGGTAAGCAGATTAGGAGATTCTGTAGATGAAAACGGTTAGATTATATACATGAAAATGATGGTGCTTGCACCAGGGTAGTTACGATATTTCGACATTGTGCAGGTAGATTCAACAGGATTCAGTGAAAGGCTGGATCCTATCAGCAGGATAGAGAGGAATAGAGGTCCTAGATTTTTGGTTTGAGCAACTAGGTGAGTGGTTGCATTGCTTATTAAAATAGGGAAGTCTGGGAGAAAGAAAAACAGGTTTAGGAGGAAGATCAAGATTTCCATTTTGGACACGTCACATTTGAGATGCCCATTAAACATCTTAGAGGTGACGGGTGATAATTACCTGTTACCGTGTGGTAAATTCCTTAAAGACATTTTCTCCATCTTTCTCTCTCCAGAGCTCCATCTTTGCTGCTGCAGCTCGAGTCCCAGAAAGTCCCTGTGATGCAACTTTGGCGAAACTTCCACCAGGGTCCCAACTGGTAGGTGCGTTTAAAGTCTTTGTTGTAAAATAATGAATTAGTCTAAAGCCACTCTATTGCTGCTTCTTCCTACTGACCTTCCTGTCCTTTGCCCCTGTTACTTTTCATATCCAGTAATACACGTTGTAAATTAGCATTTCATCTGAGCTGGGCTGGGCCAAGGTGACAGGAAAAACGAAGGAATTTGCAGGAAAGGGACCCAGGCAGTTGTTGGATAAAATCAGCAGATCCCACAAAATCCAACACATAACTGCTTTCTAGTTTTAGTGACCAGTTGCGCCATGTTCTAAGACTGACCTACCACAAGCTCTATCATTGGGGGGGCGGGGAGGATAGGCCTTTAAACACCCTAAACTGCTTCAGCCACATTCAGAATAGGGAAGGTTTAAGGTTTTAGTTTACTAATTCCACTTGTAATCATGGATCCTAAGGAAACAAAGATTTAGACAAAGATATATGTATGATGAGATGTTCCAGCCAGCGGTATTTTCAGCTGTGCAGAGTTGGGACCAACCTAAATTGAGAAACAGCCAATAAGAAAATGGGTAGCTAAACAATGGAGCACTGATAAAATGGAATATGCAGAAGCCACTGATATTTGTGTTTAATAATTGAGAATTTTTAGTGACACTTAGGAAAATGGTTCCTTCTCCCCTTATCTGTAAAATGATGATAATCGCATCTGTTTTATGAGGCTATGGATCAAATGAGCTAATGTATGTGAAATCATTTTGAACACTATAAAGCATTTTTTTAAAAAAAGAATTATTACCAAGAGGTGAAGCGAGAAGGCCCTTCCTTTACCATAAGTGGTTATGGTTCAAGAGACCGGAGGAAGTTAAATTTCACATTGGAGTCATTACAGCGTGGCAGGGGCTGCACCAAGAACATGGTGATTGTCCCAGTTGGGCTCTGGAGTAGGAAGCTGGCACGGACTGTGTGCCTGCAGGGTGTCATCTACTGGGCAGGATGCTTCACATCCATCCATACCTAACTGCATGCTGGGAGGCAAAGTGAGCCTGTTTCTGGCAATTTCCATCTTAGCCCTGGTCAGGTTATTACAAGTCACTGAAATGCTGCATATTAAAGTCATGACCTGTGGAGCGTCTATGGGCCAGGTCTTAACCTCTATCTAGCTGCAGTGCTGTGTGGCGCTTTCTCCATTAATGGCTATGAAAAGAAGAAAGGATGGATAATGTGTTAGTTAGTTAGTTAGTTAGTTAGTTAGTTAGTTAGGCAAATAACATGAATCTTGTCTTCCAAAGGCCTCAGTCAGCTGTCTGCCCCAGGACATATTAATGTAGAACATCCTGGCCTTTTTTTTTTTTTAATGTTTTGTTTATTTCTGAGACAGTGTAAGTAGGGGAGGGTGAGAGAGAGAGGGAGACACAAAATCTGAAACAGACTCCAGGCTCTGAGCTGGCTGTCAGCGGGGCTCAAACCCACAAACTGTGAGATCATGACCTGAGCCAAAGTCGGACGCTTAACCGACTGAGCCACCCAGGTGCCCCACCACATCCTGGCCTTCTTACATGCAGTATGGCTTTGTCAAAAGAGGACCCAAACATACATCCAGGGGCGTCAGGGTGGCTCAGTCAGTTATGTGACCCACTCTTGATTTCAGCTCAGGTCATGATCTGACGACTCAGTTCATGCAATTGAACCCCACATTGGGCTGGTAGTGCAGAGCCCACTTGGGATTCTGTCTCTCCCTCTCCTTCTGCCTCTTCCCTGCTGCTCCTTCTCTTTCCCTCTCTCTCAAAATAAACAAATAAACTTAAAAAAAGTTTTAAAAATCACATCCAATGGATGATTTGACATCTCACTTGGATATCTAGCAGGCATTTCAAACTAAACATGTTACAAACCGAACTCTGAATTGTCCCTCCCTTTCCCCAAACCTGCTCTTCTCTGCTTTTCCTCATCTGAATAGATGATCCTACCAACTGCCCATTTTTCTCAAGCCAAAACCTAGGATGTGTCCTTAATTTTTCTCTTGTTCCCCCTTACATCTAGTCGGCCAGTGGCTCTCCCATCAAAACCTGCCCTGGCGTCTCCCCCCGCTCTTCATGAACATCAGTAGGTCCCCCCTCCAGCCACCTGATTCTCCCCACAGCCAGACTGAGCTTTTAGAACCACGTATCATCCTGTGTAACTTATTTGCTCTCAATCTGCCACGGCTTCCCGCCTCACTTAGATTTAAGCGTAACTCTAAACCCTAGCGGACAAGGCCCACATGGGCTCAGCAGGGCCCTGCCTGCTTCTCTGACCTCACCCCCTACCCCTCTCCTCCTTTAGCTTCATAGCCCTCCCCTCTCTCTCTCTAGCATGCCAAGTTTGCGACTACCTCAAGACTTTGCACCAGCTGGTTTTTTGAGGTGAGGCGAGCAGGGAGCTTGGGATTTTCTTTTGGTAGATAGTAATAATAACAGCAACTGTCTCTGTGCTTACTATATATATGGCGGGCACTGTGCCGAAGACTTAAACTCATTTTTCTTGGTATTTCTCCCATTTTGCATATAAAGAAACCTAGATATTGAAATGTAAAGGGTTTGCTCAAGGTCACACGGTGTCTGAGGTCACTAAAACCTAAGGAAACAGGCTCGGAGGCAGAGATTTGCATTTAGCTGTGTTGGAGACTGATCCTGGTAATAACACCCCTAAGGAGGTAAGAGAAACCGGTCTGGGGCGTGGGAGGAGGGAGAAGTCCAACTGTGGCACGGCTGTTCAGAGATCTCAGCGGATCCTTCAGAGTTATCCCATATCGGAGGCCAAGGGGCCAGGCCTTTATACTCGGGCATGGACAGATCCTTGGGCAGCAGACTGCCTGGGGAGGGGGTATGTCCTTGGGCAAGGTAGCTCTCTTTACCAAAGGCAATAACTGGAGAAAGACTTAGCTGCAAAGTGCTAGCAGCCAATGCTCCAGGCAGTAGGAGAGCCCAGTCCTGGAAGGAGAATCTGAGCCATGTGTCACAGCATCCAGGACGCACCAAGCATTTGTTTCTAGTTCTGTGCAGCACGTTACCCTAACATGTAAGGATTAAGACAACAACCATTTATTAACTCATAGTTTCTATGGGTCAGAAATCTGGGGATGGCTTTGCTGAGTGCATCGAGCTCAAGGGTGGCAAAGAAAAAGTTATTCTGACACTTCGCTAACATGGTAAGGAAGACTTTAGTCAGGACTCTTGCAATAGGTGAGAAAGGTTGGGCTCAACTCCAGATCCAGCAAAGTTAGCTGGGGATTTGTAGCAGTCAAGTGGAATGAGGGGGTCAGTGGATGAAAAAAAGTCACCAAGAGGAGACAGCTAGGGTAGGGGGATTCTTGCTAAACTGACTTAGCAGGATTCTTGGTACATTTTGGCCATGCAGGCCTGGCAAGGATCCCCCTTACCCTACCTCACCCTCCGCACCTCTCCCCTGCTCTTTCTGTCTCATAAAAAAAGAAAAGAAAAGGGCTCAGAGGAACCTGACTAAAGCTTGGACAAGCAGAGCATCTTTGTCAAGGTCTGTCACAAGGTTACAGTCGAGCTGTTGTCCAGGGCTGTGGTCTTATCTGACAGCTTGACCTGGGGCAGGCAGGAGATGAAGGGACATACTCAAATGATAGGCAAGTGTTAAAATCGTAGGGGGTGCAGGGAGCAGCTTCTAGGAAGATGGCAGAGTAGGAAGCACCAGGAATCTGTCTGTCTCCTTACCTGGAGCAGAGTTGCAAGACAGAATCTGTCTGATGTAACTATTTTGGAACCCTTAATTTGTTGAAGGCTTTGCAACTTCCAGGAGAAGAGCTGGAGAGTAAATTATGTAACTTTGATCAATTTCAGCTTGTAGGGCACAATTTCCCCACCCCCAGTGGCTTGTTGTTACTGTTGTTGTTTTGTTTTGTTTTCTATAGGAGACTAATACATTAAAAAAAAAAAAAATTGGACATGCCTAGGTGGCTCAGTGGGTTGAGTGTCTGGCCCTTGATTTCGGTTCAGGTCATGATCCCAGGGGCATGGGATTGAGGCTTGTGTCCAGCTAGAGCTGCTTAAGATTCTCTCTCTCCCTCCTTCTGCCCCTCTTCCCCGCTTACACATGCTCCCTCCCCTTTCTCAAAAAATATAATAATAATAAAGAAAAAAGTGTTAGTGTGAAAACTAGTAATACTGCATCTTTGGTTTGTAACTCCATACTTTGTAGCTTACATAACTTAGGAAAATAATGAATTTTAAAGAACTATTAGGGGCACCTGGTGGTCAGTCGGTTTAGCATCCGACTTCGGCTCAGGTCATGATCTCACGGTTTGTGGATTCGAGTCCTGCATTGGGCTCTGTGCTGACAGCTCAGAGCCTGGAGCCTGCTTCAGATTCTGTGTCTCCCTCTCTCTCTCTGCCCCTCCCCTGCTTGTTCTATGTTGCTTTCTGTCTCTCAAAAAAATAAACATTAATAAATTTAAAAAAAGAAATATTAGTTTGTTTTGGGGCACACAACATATAAAGATGATATTTTGTAACATCAACAACCAAAAGGGGTGAGAACAGAGTAAAGGAGCAGATTTTTATATATTATTGAAGGTATACATTCAAATTAGAGCATCATAAGTTTAGAATCTTCAATGAAACCCCATGGTAACCACAAAGAAAATAGCTATATAATATACACAAAAGGGAATGAGAAAGGAATTTGAACAATTCACTACAAAAACAAATCAACTAAACACAAGAGAAGACAGTTATGCAGGAAATGAGGGACAAAAAAAGCTGTAAGGCATATAATATGGAATACAAATAGCACAATGGCAGAAGTAAGTCCCTCTTTATAAGTAGTTATTTTAAGCATAAATAGATTTAACTCCCCAATCAAAAGATGGAGGTTGGCAGAGTGGACAAATACATGACCTAACTGTATGCTGTCTATAAGGACCTCATTGAGACCCAAAGGCACATCTGGAGATGATGAAAGGAGTTGAAAGGAGAGGATGGAAAAAGTCCATGCAAATCGTCATCAAAGGAGAGCAGGGGTGGCCGTACTATCAGATAGAATCTATTTTATTTTATTTTATTTTATTTTTCTTGTTTATTTTTGAGCGCATGAGAGAGACAAGAGCATGAGTGGGGGAGGAGCAGAGAGAGAGGGAGACACAGAATCTGAAGCAGGCTCCAGGCTCTGAGCTGTCAGCACAGAGCCTGACGTGGGGCTTGAACTCACAAACTGCAAGATGATGACCGGAGCCGAAGTCGGTGCTTAACCAACTGAGCCGCTCAGGTGCCCCAGAATCAATTTTAAGTTAAAAAAAAAAAAAAATAGAAGAGACAAAGGAGGACATTATGTATTAATAAAAGCCTCCATACAGCATGAAGCTATAATGATTACATTTATGCACCTGATGAAGACCATCAAAATATATAAAGCAAAAACTGATAGAATTGAAGGGGGAAACAGACAGTTCTACAGTAATAGTTGGAGACTCCAATACTCCACTCACAACAATGGCTAGAACAACCAGACAGAAGATAATCATGGAAACAGAGGGCTTAAACAACACAATAAGCCAACTAAATCTTACAGGCACACGGAACACTCTATCCAAGTGTGGGCTCCCAAGAAAGGGAGCCCTCTTGCACTGATGGTGGGAATGCAAACTGGTGCAGCCACTCGGAAACAGTGTGCAGCTTCCTCAAAAAATTAAAAATAGAATTACCCTACGACTCAGTAATAGCACTAAGGATACAGGAGTGCTGTTGCATAGGGGCACATGCACCCCAATGTTTAGAGCAGCACTCTCAACAATAGCCAATTATGGAACGAGCCCAATCCATCAATTGATGAATGGATAAAGAAGATGTGGTTTATATATACCATGGAATAGTACTCAGCAATGAAAAAGAATGAACTCTTGCCATTTGCAACAATGTGGATGGAACTGGAGGGTATTATGCTAAGTGAAGTCAGACAGAAGAAAGATACATGTTTTCAGTCATATGTGGAATTTGAGAAACTTAAGGCCATAGGAGAAGGGAAGGAAAATCGTTTCAAACAGAGAGGGAGGCAAACCATGAGAGACTCAAATACAGAGAACAAACTGAGGGTTGGTGGATGTGGGGGAAAGAGGAAAATGGGAGCTAAGCATTGAGGAGGGCATATGTTCAGATGAGCACTGGTGTTGTGTGAAAGTGATGAATCACGGGAATCTACTCCTGAAGCCAAGACTACACTGTATACCCTGTATGTTAGCTAACTTAACAATAAACTATTAAAAAAAAAAACACTATTCAACAACAAAAGCATACACTTTAGGAAACCCACTGCATAGATAGGATAAAGCCACAGGCGGTGGTTTGCTCCCCATTGTTCGTGTGACAGAGAAACACAGTTCCCTTCTTACTGTATCTATTAGATTTGAGATCCAGTCATCTGCTTGAAAGAAAGTTCACACACAGCTATCCGCTCTGTCAACAGATTTGCATGAAAGCAAACTGTAGGAGCTATTGCATCTCAGAGAACGCTGTGCTCACTTGACCTTCAGTAGAGCAGCATGCTCATATTTATCTGGTTCAAGTTCCTTGCTACGCTTTCCCTGATGAGAAAACACCTCTAGGTGGCCCTTTGGAAGTAATCTGCCCAGATAGAAATACAAAGGCAAGAGAATCATTGCAGAGAATGGACCCTTCATTTGGTGTTTATGCACTGAAATAGTGGAGTCAGTAATGAATATATGTGTGAACTTCTGTGATTTAAAAACAGCCAAATCCAGAGCACAAGGGTCCAACGGGTCATCAGTAAATCTTTGGGGCCCCAAGAGGGGATTACTTTGACCTGGTCTGGCCCTGGCTTTGGGAAGCTGAATTCTGTGCACCAGGAAGCAGAAGGTCCCTGGGCTGTCAGGGCTGTCAGCAAAGTCATGGCGTCTGTGATTTGGGTCTTCATGCCCATGCTCTTCCCTCTGCTGAGAGGATCTTCACTAAGCAAGAACCATAGGGAAACTACCCTTGGGGAGCTTCAAGGTGACTCAGAAGAAAGGCCACAGGGAGCCAGAAAGACTCGAGGTCAAATCCTAGGTCTAGCTGTCAATGGCACTGTGACTTGGTTTCCTCATGGCCCTGAGTTTGTTTCAGCAGGTCTGGGTCAGGATCCTGGAATCCATATTTTTAACCAGCCCCATAACCAACATTCAAACCAAACCTTGATTAGGGCTATTTCCTAGAAGCAATATTGCCTAGTGTTAAGCATGGACCCTGAAGCCAGACTGTCTGGGTTAATTCCAGCTTCACCAACTTAGGAGTTGTATAACCTTGGGCAAGCTTCACCTCCTTGTCTCAGTTTCCCCATCTGTACAATGGGGATGATAGTAGTACCTGTCTTATGGGAAGATCAAGTATGTTTACTGCGTAAAGCATTTAGAATGGAGGCAGTTATAGCAAACATTATGTGTTACTCTTCCAGTTACAAGCCTTTATCCACAATCCCAAAATTAAACATTTTAAACATCAAAGATTTCCCCCAAAGCTTGTCACAAATCAATTTAGCAGCAAAACCCAATCTAAACTAATGGGAGGCTTTTGATGGTCTTTATCCCTTAACTGAGGGAGTGTCAACACATTTGATTATGGAATGTCACCCACCCCATAGGTATTACATAATATACTATTTGTGTATTTCCCAAAAATATGAAATATTCTCAACTTCAAAACTCAAGATTTCAGACAGGGGACTGTGGAGCTCTATTTTATTATCGTTTGTTGGCGGGAGACCATGTGTGACAAGCAGAGAATGTGAGAAAAGTCGCCATCTGGAGGTTCAGTGGAGAACCACATCACAGGGAAGGCAGGATGGGGGGCAGCAGGGGAAGCCTGAACATCAGAGACAACTATACCCTCTGGCCCACAATCTAGAACAATTCTTTCTAGAGGATGTTTTAAAATGTCTTCAAACGATGCTGTACGGGCAGAGAAGACACCAACCACCACAGTAAAAAAAAAAAAAAAAAAAAAAAAAAAAATATGCAATTTATTAAAGTAACAAGAACATTACTTAAGCTTTTTTTTTTTTTTTTTTACTTATTTCTAGGGGAGAGAGAGAGAAAGCGTGAGCAGGGGAGGGTCAGAGAGAGAGGGAGCCACAGACTGAAACAGGCTCCAAGCTCTGAGCTGGCAGTCAGCACAGAGCCCGACGCGGGGCTCGAACCCACGAACCGCGAGATCATGACCTAAGCGAAAGTCGGACGCTCAACCGACTAAGCCACCCAGGCGCCCCATACTTAAGCTTTTTAAAGTACAGCTTAGAGATCTTCTTTATAAATCTAGCAAATGTTAATTACTTTTGAGAGAAATTTGAATATCCAATTTATTTATAAACTTAAACTCCTTTAAACATTTCGTATTCCATTTCCTTTTGTTGTTTTTGACAGACAGTGCGCACATGCATGGTTACACACTTTAACTGGAATCACCAATTACCTTCCCAGGTAATTTTTTAAGTTGCTTTATTAGTTTGCTGAGGTTTCCGAATATCATAGTGAATTCTGGCCAGGATGCAGGTAGATTTAGCATCCGCTACCTAAACTACTTTGCTCAATATCCTTTTTTTTTTTTTTTTAAAGTTTATTTATTTTTGAGAGAGAAACAGAGCACAAGCAGGGGAGGGGCATAGAGAAGGAGTCACAGAATCCGAAGCAGGCTCCAGCTGTCAGCACAGACTGCTCAACTCAACTTGGAACTTCAATTCACAAGCCATGAGACGGTGACCTGAGCTAACGTCAGACGCTTAACCAACCCCAGAAAAGGGATTACTTTTGAAAGATATTAATAGATAATATTATTACATCAGACGACAGAGACAATTCTAGAAATGGGTACAGGTGTGGGAGGGGCTGAAGCTTTCCTAATTTTGGAGACTTTCTATTTATTTTTAAATTTTTTAAAATATTTATTTTTGAGAGACAGTGAGCGGGGGAGGGGCAGAGAGGGAGGGACACAGAGACTTGGAAGCAGGATCCAGGCTCTGAGCTGTCAGCACAGAGCCCGACGTGGGGCTCAAACCCATGAACTATCAGATCATGACCTGAGCCGAGGTCGGACGCTCAACCAACAGACCCACCCAGGCACCCCTGGAGACTTTAAGGAAAAAATAGGTACAGGGTTTTAAAGGGTGACTATACAAAGAAGAAGCCCTGAAGCATAAGCAGATTTGCTGTTGTTTTTTAATTTTCAAAGATTTTATTTTTAAGTAATCTCTATACCCAACTTGGGGCTTGAACTCACACAACCCTGAGATCAAGAGTTCACACAACCCTGAGATCAAGAGTTCATACAACCCTGAGATCAAGAGTTACATGCTCCACTGACTGAGTCAGTCAGGTGCCCTGCAGATTGGCTTCTTGAAATTTACAGTGAAAGTGCTTTGGTACAGAGCAGGCAAACAAAATGTAAGATATTAACTACAGGGATGCCTGGGTGGCTCAGACGGTTGAGCTCTTGACTTTGGCTCAGGTTGTGATTCCAGGGTCATGGGATCGAGCCCTGTGCCAGCCTCCATGAGATTCTCCCTCCCTCCCTCTCTCTCCTTGCATACGTATGGAGATATTACTGCAGAACTCTGTACCCAGCCTGCTCCTCTCCATATTAGGTCCTCGGCAAATCTCTATCAGAGACTGCTGACGGACCCATGACTCATCCACCCTAGAAGACAAATTCTAATGACGTTCTGCTGTTCAGTCAAGAAGGACACAGAATTCCAGTAAGGTCTTGTCATTTTAATTGACTTTAATGATTATTGCTCATCTGCAAGGATTAATATTGCATTCATTAAAAATCATTCAATACAAAATAAACTTGTCCCTCCCAAGTTGCTCTCCACACGCTCCCTCTGATGCCAGACATTTTCCCACAGTGTCCTTTGTTACATGGCTTGACAGAGATGGAGCCCTTACCTATTATTCCTATGGACACAGAAAATAGATGGGGAGCAGGGGGCAGGCCAGAGGGCAGTGGGACCTGGGCCCCTTCCCTCCAGCAGAGCTGATGCGATGGATACCACTGTTGGCCAGGTTACCTCCCCTAAAGGATGGGGTGTTCTGATTGGCTGGTTCAGTGCCCTGGGAAAAAAGGGCTTGAACCATTAGCATCTACAGAAAAGAAAGCATGGTCACACGGAAAAGGAGTAGGAAGGGGCTGGGTGGGGGGAGAACTAGGAGAGGAAAAGGCAAAACGTTTTGGCAAGACTCTGCTAGAAGGCTGCAGAGTGAAAGCTTTCCTTTCATATGTTACTATTTTTAATGTCTGTCTCTCTGATCAATGGCAACAGAGAAATGAACATTTCTAGTACCTAGCACTAATGCCTGACCCAACTTTGAAGGATCACCAGGTAGAACAAGTTGAGGATTTAGAATCCTGGATAATTATATACTTAAAGCTCATGAGCATAAAGCTCATCGGACCATGCAGAAATGCTGGTAAGCAGGGTGCATGGCATGGGAACACACCTCTCTAATCTATGAGGGCCTCTCTAGGGATTCTTTCCGAGTCTGGGCCAGGACGCATGTTTCACCTTCTCTGTGCACAAACTGCCCTTTAAGATCTTGGTTCATAAACTCTTTGTGAAATGTGTCAATTAAAAGTGGTACCACTTCTGTAAAACTAACATTATATATGGGGCCTAAAGTCCCGGACCAGTTATATGGAACTACATTTCCCTCACCCTGGCCCAATTTATCCTTCCTCCTCCCATCCACATCTACCTTCCTTTAAATATTTTAAGTTGCAAAAGCACAGCTGACCAGAAATTGCTCTTAAAGGATAAATCTTAAAGATAGAGCTCAGTGTTTTAGACTGAGTAATGGCTCAAGAAATTCGCCTTCAGCACAAGCTGTATGGGGCAGAGCTCATAGAATCTGCTGTTACGGCCCCGGTTCACTGATGCTATAACTATGGGCTTAGAAACAGAGGGACTTATCAAGAGGGTGAGATCAGCATTTCTCTAGACTCAACTCTGTACTCTCAGCTCCAAAGGATCAAAAGAGAAACTGGTAACAACTAATCACCCAAGCAGTTCCTCAGTGTTAACACTAAACATTTTTCTTTTTTTTTCCTTTTCATTTTTTTTCTTTTTTATCTTTTTTTCTTTTTTTTTTTTTTTTGTACAACAGAAATCGATGCTAAGGGACAAAATTCAACTTAATAGAGTGCAGTCTGGTTAAAAACCTGAAAAATGAGAAGGTCTGGTGGGAGTGGAGGAAGGGCTGTACTAAATCCAAGTGGACCGACTGGATCTTAACAATACACATCTCTGAACCAGACACACCACCTTCACACAGGAAACAAGGCTGGGAACATCTGGGGGAATGAACATGCGCCACCTACGTCTAACCTACCTGGCTGGTGGGTACCATCCCTGCTCCTCTGAAGAAGTGAAAGAGCACTGATTTCAGCAGCTAAGAAATGGGCTCTTTTAAGGCAATTTAGACATTGCAGATTGTTCAACATAGAAGGTACCTTAGCATTTCCTGTTAACAAGGTACCCAATTAAGACTAAAGTCCCCAGAAGCGGGAAAGAAAGAATCGCCTTTCTGGGCTGGGAGAGTAAAATCCTTCTTTAGTGACTAGGGTGAGGAACCTTGAACCTCAGTTTCCTCTAAAGAGCCATGAAGCAAGTTCCTGTGTGGTCTGCAGAACTTGGATAATGAGATGAAAAAAACAAAAATGAGATTATAGGAAAAAAAAATTAACAGGAAAGGAAGAAGAAAATAAAAGTTATCCTAAAAAATATTTCTTTTAGAGTTGTGTGGTTCATGTGGACTGGTCCTTGGGCATATGGTCCATTAGTATCTGTAAATAAAGAGATTGGGTGTTTAGCACTTGTGTCTTCCATACCGAGACATCCAAGAGAAACATCAGAAACAGAGAACACTCCCCAGGTTCCCTCCCCGGCCCCAGCTGGGGACCCCTAACACAATTCCCCAGGGATCATTCTTCCTTGTGCTCCCACAGGGCTTGTGACACTGCTGCCTCTGGTTTCATTTCCTGCTTCCTGAAAATACAAGCCAGTGGTTTTCAACCTTGACTGTACATTAGATTAATCTAGGGAGCTTTTACAAAATAAGTCTGGGCCCCAAGCCAGACCAAATGTATCAGACTCTCAGGGGGTGAGGCCCAAGCTTCAAAATTCTAGAAAACTCTTACTCCTTATATCTGCCACCAGATATATAATTTCTCTGCCTACCTTGTTAGTTTGGAGCAGAGTTCTTATACTCTTCAAAATGAGGCACAACACTTTATTTAAGAAAGCCAGCTAACTTGCTTGGTTTAATACTGGGTAAAAGAGCTTTTCACTTGTTTTCCCCAAGGTACCTGTAATAATTGGGCTTGAACGGCCCATTTTTGTTGAGTCCCAGATATTTCGCTTGGTCATCTGTCAGCTCTGTCAGGTGGGCATCAAATGATGGCAGGTGCAAGCTGGCAACGTACTCATCTAGGAAGAACACAGTGGCAGGGGGCAGACTCCATTTCAACCTGCCTCTCAGGGCATAACCTCCCCCTATTTTCATCTGAGGCTTTATGAGAAAGAGGACAAGGAATGGAATAACTGTGAAAGCATCAAAATATTTGCTTAAAGAACCCTCAAAGTTGCCTTTTTGGCAGGGCACTTCCCTCTGTACATCCAGAGTGCATTTAGAAAGCCATCTGCCAGGGTAACAAGATGGGGAGAGGGGGCCTTGTACCTCCCCCTCCTTTTCTGGCAAAGCTTCTGGCTTTACTCCAGGGGCCAACCTGCTATGTATTACTCTCATCTTCCTGCAGCAACTTCCTTAACTTGAATTACACTCAAACTACGACACAAAGTAGACACCGGTAGCTCAAAAGACCTTTGTGTCAATAAGATTTATTTAGAATAACATCCATAAGGGCCTCAAATTTTTGGATCATGGATTTCTAAGGCAGCTGTTGCAAATTTATTACTCTTCCCTGGATAAACTTCTTGGGCTTTACTTTTATGAATATGAATTCAAGAAAAAAAAAAACCCAATTGTTGGAGATGAGAGCGAGAAGTCTTTCAGCTTTAATCAAGGGGACAGGGACTGGCCAATTACAGATGGGAGGTGGGCACGGCTATTCAAGAAGGGAAAAATCAGAGGGGACGTGTTTTCCACACGAACACAACACCATCCCCTAGAATCTCAAAGGCTGCATTACTTACACAGAGGATGGATAAAACCTAGATTTCTTTCTGTTTCTCTTTCCTTGGTCACAGGCTATAGTCACTGGCGGTAGGAAGTTTACTGAACTTCATAAGGCTACTCAGACTAAGAGCATCTACCCTAAACCACCGTGTTAAACACTTATGCTCGTTAGCTGTCTTACTACAATTCTGCAGTGTATAGAAGTATTACTCTCACTTTATTAATGAAGAAACTGAGGCTCGTGGCGATTACAACTTGTCCTGAGGTCCAGAAACCATGAAAGGTTAGGATGGGGATTAGAACTTTGACTCTAAATCCAGTACTTGTCATGGTAATCGTTTCACCAAACCATGCCACAGTGTGAGGTTCAGCACAGGCTCCTACTGTTTCTCACTCACCCATTTTCTTAGGAAGCAGGTATACATCTTGTTTGTACCGTCCCTCAGGTGCATTATAGAGTTCTATCAGTGCCAAAGCCTAGGTTGGGAAAAGAGGGAGAAAAAACACAGAAACGCTTCTCAGACAGGGACATAAAAATAAAACTAGATGTAACAGGGTCTTGGGGAAGTGCTATAGTGGTCTGTCATAGTGACAGCACCCAGGCCGTGGCCTGGAATAACCACCACCACATCGTAAAACGATTTGCTGCTGTTTTTGTTTAGTTCCTAATAAAAGAGCAGACTAAATACAACTAAGCCGGAACACTACGCTCTCAGCTAACACAGCCAACTCAAAGGGACACAAACACCCAGTCTGCCTGACTGATGACCCTTCCCTACACTTGTGAAGGCCCGCCTTGCCCACCTGCGACCTGGAACAGGTTGAAGAGAAGACAGCAGGGCACACTCTCATTGGAACTCTGCCCGAGGCCCTGTCCCACTAATCCCAGGGCAGGAGAAGCAGGCATTTGGTCACATACCTGTGTTGTAGCTGTGATGGACAGAACAAAGGTGGGGACTGTGGAGCAGCTCAAATTGAGCAGACGACCCTGGAAAGGAAAGAGAGCCCTGGCGTGAGTTTTGCTTCCCTTCGGGTCTCAGATTCCAAGGTCATACAAGCTAAGCAAATGCAACTCAAGACGGCAGAGAAAGAATTATAGTTCCAGATCAGGACTCAAGATTGTATCTTATTTTCTTCGGTCCACCTGAGTATGACAAGCCGAAGAATCAGCTGTGGTCAGGAAATAGTATGTTACTTGGTAAAAGGTAGGTATTTTTTTGACAGGTTCTATGTTAGGGACCAGAAAATGTATGAAATAGATCTGTTTCCAAAGACAGAGTTCAGGGAAACGAGGCATAACGTCTCTTCCCTGGCCCCCTTCCGCCACGGATCTGTGTGCACTGCCAAAGCCCTTTGGAGCACGCACCTCTGCCAGGAGGACGACGCGTTTGCCATCTGGCCAAATGACATGGTCCACCTGAGAACGCACTCGCTCCCATGTCAGCTCTGGAGTGCGGAGGCTGGTCTGAAAGGAAGACAGCACAGTTGACTGTGGCTGTAATGGAAGGAAGGGGGAAAAGGCCTTGCAGTCAATGAATGAGAGAAGCCATACCACATCAATTTCCGTGTTGGAGTGGCCCATATTGCATACGATACAACTGTTTTTCATGCGGTCCAAATGCTCCCGTGTCACTACATTCTTATTTCCTAAAAGTAAAGGGAGAATGACTGAAGGAAGATGTTGGGAAACAAAGGTACCAAGTGGCTTTCAGTAGAACACGGGAAAGAGGAGGTTCGCTGCACGAAAGGGCATGCATACTTTGTGAGGAAAGTGTATACTGCATGACCACTCTTCAGGCTTGGTTATTTGGTTTTAAGATTAAAGAGTATGAAAAGCCATCAGGGAAAAAGGCTCTTTGATCTGGAAAACATGTTAAGGTTCTGGTATCTTCTTCTAGTTCTGAGACTTCTACATCGAGCATAGGTCTCACCTACTTTATGTGAAGGTCAGATCTCTTTCAAGATCTGGCCTCAGAGTTACCATTCCTCCACGCACCTCAAAGCGTTGATACTTACCTGTGCAAGTTATTACGACATCAACTTGCCGGATGACTTCATTTAGCTTTACCACCCTGAACCCATCCATGCTGGAAGAAAAGGAAGGAACACTATGAGCAAACAAGGAAGCAGTGGGACAGAAGCTGGTCACAAAATGAGACCGCTAAACTCCCTTGCAAAGTCAGGTCCAGGGCCACCTCACAGGGATGTAAGTGACAAGCTGTGCTAAACTACAGACTGGCCTCTTCAGACTCCCCGAGACTCCATTCAGGAAGGGAAAATGCCAAGAAGCTCCAGGAGGGCCCCAGGATTAAAATGGAGGGAACAGAGTCATCCTAGCCTTCTCCTCCTCTGAGAGATTTCTGCAAGGAATGGTTAATACGATCCATCATGAACTCTCAGAAACACGAGGTGCTGGGGTCAGTCTAATCGTATTACCATTCTGTTCTTACCAGGCCTGCAGAGCACAGATGGGGTCGATTTCTGTGATGTAGACAATTGCTCCGAGGGCCTTGAGAGCAGCACAGCAGCCCTTTCCCACCTGCAAGGTGTAAGAAAGAAGTCAGGGAGACCAGCCCTTTACGGCATGGGTACTGGGGCAGGTAGGCTCTTCGGGAGATGGGGATTAACCTCCCTGAAATCACCAATCATCTAGTGAGCCCTTGCGGGGATGCTTCAATCCAAGCAGAGCAGAAAAAGATCCAGATTATGCAGGGACCCCTGGTCAGAGAGGGGATTTAGCGGACATTCAGATTCATAGCAAGGGCTGGGGCTTGGGACAGTAAAAGAAATAAGGAGATCAAATAGGTGTTACCATTAGGAAAACAAAACCAAGGAAGAGCAACTGTGACCTCTCCTATCTTACTCCAGAAAAACCTGATTAACTCTCATCTGAGAGGCTTCTAACTCAAGGATGGCCCAGCAGCTCAGACACTTCCGTGGGTCACAGATGACAACAAAATCTCCTTCATCTTTTCTAGTTTGCAAATCATCAACTACATATCACTTTGGATCCCACCCTTCACTCCAGTACCA